CTTTCCCCTCTGTGGAACTTTGTACAGTACAAGAAACATCAGATATACCCAGTAAGGACTGGGAATATCTTTGAAGACCAAGCACGGTTGCCCTGGCTTGGGGCTCTAGAAGAAGCTCTGCCCATTCCCCATTAAAAAGCTGAACTCAGGGGCGCCTGGGTGGCTCAGTCATTAAGCATCTGCCTTTGGCTCAGGTCATGATCCCGGGGTCCTGGGATCAAGCTGCGCATCAGGCTCCTTGCTCAGCGGGAAGCCTGCTTCTCCCTCTCCCACTCCCCCTGCTTGTGTTCCCTCTATCGCTGTGTATCTCTCAAATAAATAAATAAAAATCTTAAAAAAAAAACTGAGCTCAGTAGTGCTGTGGAGAGGGAACTTTCTCATCTAAAGCTCTTGGCATAGGAGATGGGCAAGTTTGGGCCCCTGGGGAGTGCTAGGAGCTCACTGGCTGGGAGATGTGTGTGTGTGTGTGTATGTGTGCATGTGCTTGCGTTTGGTGTGTGTGGGTCTCTTCCTGTGTGTGTGCATGGAGCGGGGGAGGACTTGTACTTCTCACCAGTCTGTGTGCTATCTCCCACTATTTGTCTTTCAATGACTTCTCTGTGGATTTCACAGGATGGTAAAGAGAATGAAACGTCAGAAGCCAAAAGAAGAGAGATGGAAAGACAGAGGGTGAGTGTGAGTTTGCAGAAGATTTGAGTGTAGATGCATAGTAAGAGGAGCCAGGGAAAGAGGGAGCTGCAGAGAAGAGAGTGCAAGAGAAAGATGGAGACAGCATGGCATGATTAAACGGAGGGTTGGGAGAGCTCAAGCAAATAGCTTTGGACTTAGCAGAGCTGTTGGCGAGGGCAAAATGGGACGGTGGAGCTTAAAAATTAATTGGATCTGAATGATCAGTTTATCAGAGACTTTGACAGATACAGGGAGATGATATGTGGGTAAAAGAGGGCAGAACAGGAGAGACCAATGCATATCGAACACATCGAGAGAATGCAATTCACACTAACAGATTAAACAAGAAAAGTTATAGAGACATCCCAATTGATCCAGGAAATGCAATTGCTAAAATTCACCACCCATGTGCGATAAAAGCAAAAAATCCTAGCAAACTGGGAAGAGAAGTGAACCTCTTTAACTTGATTTTTCCATTAAAAATGTCCAGTGGTGGGGGGCGGGGGGGGGCACACCTGGTTGGCCTAGTAGGTTAGGCATCTGACTCTTGGTTTAGGCTCTGTTGTGATCTCCCCGTTGGGGCTTTGTGCTCAGTGTTGAGTCTGCTTCAGATTCTCTCTCCCTCTCCCTCTCACCCAGGCTCTCACTCTCTGTCTCTCAAATAAATAAATAAATAAATAAATAAATAAATAAATAAAATCTTAAAAAAAAAAAAACCTCAGCAGATATATTTAGTGGTGAATATTGAAATGTCCTCTTTAAGATGGACAGACAAGGCAAGGATGTCAGTTAGCATGGTGTCTGAAATTGTACTGAAGGTACTGGCCTGCACCATAAGGCAGGAAAAATAAATGAAAGGTCCAAGAACTGATAAGGAGGAAATAAAAGTGTCTTATTTTCTTTACTGCAAAGGAAAAGATAGATTAAGTTGAAGAATTTTAAATTAAATCCGTAGACACAGAAAGCAGATTGGTGGTTGCCAGGGCCTGAGGGAGAGGAGATGGGAAGTGACTGCCAAAGGGGATGGGTTTCCTTTTGGGGTGATGGAAGTGTTTTATTACTATATAGAACTAGTGGTTGCACAACATTGTGAATGTAAAAAATGCCACTGAATTGTACACTTTAAAATGGTTTAAATGGTAAATTTTGTTATGTGTATTTTACAGCAATAAAAAAAGGAATTTAAAATTAAGAGCTTCCTAGATACTCCTGCACCAGGATGTGGAGAATAATTTCCTCATTTTGAGGTTGGGCTGGGTTTAGTGATTTGCTTACAAAGAGCAGAGTAGGGAAAGAGAAAAAGAATAACTTGACAGTGGATAAACTTGGCAGACAGTGGATAAACTTGGCAGACAGCATCTTACTCAGATGATCAAAGTTAACATCCCCTGTGATATCATGTAGGCATCAAGGACCTCCAGTGACAATGAGGGAACCCCATCTCTGTGATCTTCCCCCCAAAGCGCATAACCCCAGTCTAATAATGAGAAAACATCAGATAAACCCAAATCAAGGGACTTTCTGCAAAATACCTGATGAGTACTCTTTAAATGTGTCCATGTCATGAATAATAAGGAAAGACTAAGAAACTCACAGATAGGCAGAGACCAAGGAGATAAGATGACTAAAAGCAGTGTAGGGTCCTGGATTGGATCATGGACTAGGAGAAGAACATTAGTGGAAAAACTGGTGATATATAAAGTTTACAATTTAGTTAATAATAAGTGCCAGTGTAAACGTTTTCCTTTTGATATGTATATCCTGTAACCACATTAGATGTTAACATTAGGGCAAGTTAGGTGAAGAGTATATAAAAATACTCTGTACCTTTTTACAGTTCAGTGCCTGTACAACTTTTCTGTATATCTAGAATTTTTCCAAAATAAAAAGTTTATTTAAAACATTAAGAGACTCTGTTCAGAAAATGATACCATAAATAGAATGAACACAAGCCACAAAATTGGAGATTTTTTTTTTACAACACACATTAAACCAACAAAGGATTCATATGTAATATGGTTAAAGAATGCACATCAGTAGGAAATGACAGCACATTTTATTTTTTTTAAAGATTTATTTATTTATTTGAGAGAGAGAGAGAAAACATATGGGGGGAGGGGCAGAGGGAAAGAGAGAGCAAGAATCTCAAGTAGACTCCCTGAGCCAAAATCAAAAGTCAGACTCAAAAAGAAAGAAAGAAGAAAGAAAGAAAGAAAGAAAGAAAGAAAGAAAGAAAGAAAGAAAGAGAGAGAGAAAGAAAGAAGAAAGAAAGAAAGAAAGGGTTGTGAGATCGAGCCCTGCATTGTTGGGCTCTGCGCTCAGTGGGGAGTCTACTAGAGATTCTCTCTCTCCCTCTCCCTCTGCCCCTCTCCCCCTCGTATGTGTGCTCTCTCTCTCTCAAGTAAATAAATAAATAAAATCTTTTAAAAAATGGATATAAAACTTGAACAAGCATTTCACCCTAAGAAGAAACCAATAATCACATGAAAATTTCCCCCTTGTGAGCAATAAGAAAGGAATCAAAACCAAAACGAAGCAAGAGTTTTCCCCCTCCATTTTGGCATGATTCAAAAACTGGGAGTATTCCAAGTGTTGATAAGGGTGTGGAGCAACTGAATGCTTATATGGTGCGAGTGTGATAAAAATAGTTGGAGGCATGTCAAAAAACAATTCGATGTTATCTCGTAAAGCTGAGCATGTGGGTGTCCTACAATCCAGCCGTCTTACCCATGTGCACCAGCCTACATTTCTGAGAATGATTATAAAAGTTTGTGGGGTTTTTTTTGGAATAAACTCAAAATAGAAGCAATCTTAAGGTCCACCAACTGGAAAATAGATAAATAATCAAAGGTATAGTAAATCAAGAAGATACTGTAGAAGAGTGAAATATGCATATATTACAGCACACACAGAAACGTGGATGAATATCAGCAGAATTATGTTGACCAAACAAAACAGGTTAGTAAAATATGTGATCATTTTATTCTCGTTACATAAAGTCCCCAAACCCACAAAACTAAACTGTGCATTGTTTGTTGATAAATATGTGGTAAAACTGTAAAAAAAAAAAAAGTAGGAGAATGAAAAAGAAAATTTGGGGTAGTTCTTCTTTCTGAAGGGAGGGACGAAATAGGGGAGAGGCCCATGGGGTCTTGGACTGTGGTGGTAATGTTCTTTATTCAAGCCTGTCATTGCTGCCCCTTATTCCTTACCTAGGGCTAATCAATACGTAATAAAAATTGGAAAAGCAGTGAGAGTTACAACAATGGGTAACAATATACATTACTATTCCAATTTCTTTAAGGTGTTAGCTTACATAACATCTGCAATTCTGTGAGACAAGTCCTGTTATTGTCCCCATTCCACAGATTGGGAAAATGAGACATAGAGTGGTCACATGACTTGCTAGAGATTAGAGGCAGCGTAGGCTTTTAAGCACAGGCCTCACTTGCAACTAACTCCATGTACATTCTGTGTTTATGAAGCTCCTTCATGTGTGCTGGGGGCAGGGATTCTGTGGGGCTCAGCTTCTAGTGCTGTTCTAGGCACTGGAGATACACGGTGAACAGGTTTGCAGGAACATGACCCCCATGGAACTGCCCGGCTAGGTAAGTGGGGAGGCCTGGAGAGCAGAGATGTGTTGGGATGAGGGCTGAGTCAGGGGAAGAGTTGGGGGCTGGGGGAGTTCAGAAGATAGGGTCAGTGTGGGGGAGTCAGGGAAAGCTTCCTGGAAGAGGAGATGTTCAAACCGGATATTGATGGATGAATAGGAGTTTGCCAGTTACACAAGGGCGTGAAGGATGGGATCCAGTCTGAATATGTGCAAAGATCCACAGGCTGAGGGGCTTAAAGAGTGAAACAGATACTCAGAAGGAGACCTAGACAGGGAGTGGCAGAGACACAGAGAGACTGGACAGAGAGAGGCTCAGAGGGAGACACATGAACAAAAAAGACGGAGAGACAAAAAGAGGAACAGAGAGACACAGGGAGAGAAAGAGATAGAGAAACAGGCAAGGAGAGATACAGGCGAAGAGACAGAGGAATAGAGGGAAAGCAGAGAGACAGCAAAGGACTCAAGAGAGAGCCAGAGAAACCACAGAGCGACTCCAGGGGAGATGAAAGCACACAGAACCAGTAGGGAACCTGAGTGGGACCGCTCTCTGTCCCTCTGGTCGGGGAGCCCTGGGGGCGGGGAACCCCCACCCGGCTCCGGCCCTTTAAAGCTCCCCCAAGCTTGCAGCGCCCCCGCCCCATCAGGCGTCCCTGGGCTCCGCCCGCCAGCCCCACATCAGCACCACGTCAGGAGCTGTCCGCACCCCCTGTGCTGAACCAAGATGGCCGGCGGCGGAGGCCGGGCCCCGGCGTGAGCTGAGCGCCGGCTGCAGTCCCGGCCATGCCCTAGCCCAGTGGTCACTAAGCTCTACCTGACAGAGCCGGCCCGCCGGCGACCCCGGAGACATGTCTCTACTTTGCGTTGGAGGTAGGAGGCGAGGCTGCGGGGCTGGGGACCGTCGTGGACCCGGACCGGGCTCGGGGTCCGTGTGGATGCGGCTGGGCTCCTGAGGGGGTGACCCGAGTACACGCGGCTGGACTTTTGAGAGGGGAGCTAGCCCTTGTAGACGCGTCAGGGCGCCTGAGGGGTTGATCCATGCAGATGTAGCTGTGTTCTCGGGGGTCCTGGTGGCCGCTGCTGGGGGTCGTACGGACGTGGCTGAACGCGGAGGCCCTTGTGGACGCCAGCAGGGATCTGAGGCTCTATCTGGCTTCCTAATCTAGACCGGGGAGTCTGTGTAGACCAGGTTATTAGGTGTGGAAGGGGCTGGGCTGGGTAGTTCGGATGAATCGTGTAGGGTACTTGGAAGGAGTCCTGTGCGGTGGGCTGGGCTGTGGGTTCTCATGGACGTGGAATAGACTCAGAATTCGAAAAGGGGTGTAGAGGGAGGGGTCTCCAAGCCCTGAGCATATAAGATTTGGGTAAGGGGGTTTGACCATCAGGACAACGGCGAGCTCTAGGAATCTCCCAGCCTTGGGTGTGAAGAGTCCTGGGAAGGGGCTAGAGAAGACCCTTCCCCACGTCCTGAGAGGGTTGTGACTGGGGTCTGGGGGCGCTTTTCCCGTTAACTCTTTGGACTCCCGAATGGGGGTTGGGGGAATCGCCTGAGGGCCTCCCCACTGCCCGCCCCCTCCAGCACTCCGGAACGCGTAACCGGCCTTCCCCGTAGGGAGCCGACCCCTCCGGGTGCAGTGCCGGTCTGCACCCCTCCCGGCATCCTCACCTCACCCACTTTGCGCTGAAGCGAGGGAGGGAGAGGTGGGGTGGAGCTATTTTGGGGCCCGAACGCCATCTGCACCGAGGCCCACGCCCAGGCCCACGCTCTGCGTTGGGGTGGGGGGGGAAGGAGGGAGACACAGGAGGGGCATGATCGCTGCCCCCACTTCTGAGGCTGAGGTGGGGGCGAAGCCAGGCCATCAGGACTCAGGCGTCCTGGGCATTCCAGTTAAGAACTCAGGTTCTGGGAGACGTTGGGCGGCGGTGGTGGTGGCGAACAGGGGTTCGAGGCTTATAGAGGTCTCAACCTTGGGTTTCAAGGGCTGGGGTCCACCCCCCTCACTCACACCTACTCCCTTCAAGAAGGCTGAGGTCGGAGAAGAAGTGTGTTGGTCAGGCCTGAGATGTCAGGCTTCAAGAGACCTTAGGCGTGGGGAACGTGGTGTGTGTGTGTGAGAGAGAGAGAGACAGAGAGCTGAACCCCGCTTCCGCCTGGACCCCAATGAACAGGCCCAGATCTGGGAAACGCCCCCGCCACCCCTCCCCCCTCCTCCCCTCCCCCCTCTGTCGCTCCATTCACAAACCCTGCCCCGCCCGCCCGCTCCCTGCCGCGGCGACTTCCAGAGTGCTATTGCGCGGGGCTGGGCAGGCGTGGACGCGGGTGTTCTTAAAGGGACAAGGACTTGCTTTCTCAGAGCTCGGTCCCGACCGTGCCTGATGGTGCCAGAAGGGCCTATAGATCAAAAGCCAACTACCCCCTGACCTATAGAGTTAAGGGAGTGGGGAGGTGAAAAGGACCCCCTGGAACCGCCCCTGGGCTAGGCCTAAGAGAAGGCGGAGGTGAACGTCCAAACCCCCTATTGGCTTCTTCCCCACCTCTAAGTTGCCTAGCTGTGGGGGCCGGGCGGGGTGGGGGGCGGCGGGCGCGGCTGGCCCTGGAGGAGGGGGTCAATGTGAGTGTTCCTGGCTGATTCTCTCCCCTGCTCCTCCCACCCCCACCCTACCCTGCCTCACATCCTCCAAGTTGGGTTCCTCTGGAAGGTTTGCCTAGTGATGTGTGTGTGTGTGGGGGGGTGGAATTTCACCATTAACTCTGACGCAAACTGGAGGCTGGACTGCAGAGGTGGTGTGAGGGGGGGCAGTAAGAAGGGTGAGGCTTCCAGAAACGGAGGCCTGTGGGAAGAATTGTGTTGGATGATTCTGTGGAACTTACAGGAAGGGAATCACCAGCAGAGTGGAGGGGTGTTGCTGGGAGGGGCAAGTCTATGGGTGGGGTGGGAAGTAAAGCCCTGAGACATATGGGGGGGTGGAATAATGCTAGGAGAGGTAGAGGGGGAGACCAGGAGAAATAGAGGGTGAAATACTGGGAGGGGTGGGGGTGATGCCCAGAGTGGGGAGGCCAGGGGTGTAAGGGGGTGAATGGGAGAGGATAGGGGGCAGGGGAGCAGTGGAGCTGGGCTGGGAGGGCTTTCCATGGGTCTGAGCTCATCCTTGGAGATGAGGAAATACCTATACCTCCAACCAGAGTCCAACTCATATTTGCCCATATCTGTACACACATGCACTGAAACGTCCATACACAGACTCACCCTGTGTGGACAGAAATGCCCAGGATCCACCAAGGCTCCATGAAGACCACATGCCCATGACACTTATGGACACATGTGCACATTCATATGTGTGTGTGAACACAACATGTATATAGGACACAGCCACTCTGCCACATAGACATGGCCCCCGAAATATAGGCATGTGTGTCCACATGCATGTACACAGACATGGCTGTATCCAGACATATTTGATGCATGTTCACAATATCCAAGTCACATAAAGATCCACTCATGCCCTGACATACAGGCATGTACCTATGTATACCTGTTAGGGCCCCAATCCCAAGAAATACATATGTGTACACCTGAGCACATGCCAAGGCCACATGTGTATGTGCATGATGACACTTGCCTGGACATTCAAAGCAGCCCCTTTGAACAGGTGAATGATGATATGTACACACAAGTAAACAAATACACATTCCATACAACTGTATAACACGCATATCCATACACATACCACAACATATGTTTCTAATTAACATATCACCTGCAAGTCCTCATATACCTAAACGCACACATACTAGCATGTCCCACATACAGTCACACTGTACTTCCTGACACACCTGTACAGATCATCACCTGCATTCAGATGGTACACATAAGCACATGTCCCTCCATGAAAACATACACACACACCCATGTACACACACCTGCCTGCCCTGGTAACACTAGCAAATACACATGCAAACACACACATGCAAACTCTTGCATACATATGCAACACCAACACATAGGAGACCACCTTATACAGGTCTTGCCTCTGCCCCCTCTCATTTCTTTATGTGGAGTCCCATTGCTCCCCCCTCCCGCCATCCACTTGCTAGGGCTTGGCAGAATCCTGAGGCCGCAAATGCCAAGTGCTACCTGGTTCCTTCATGAATTCATTCACATATTTACTCAACAAGCATTAGTTGAGCACCTACTCTATGCCAGGCACTGTTCCTGGAGACCCAGCGTTATTCTTGGCCTCATGCTGGTGGGGTCAGAGTGGGAGGGACAGGGAAGGGCTGAGGGAGCCATGGAAGGTGATATCCAGGGCTCTCTTCTTTTGGAGCTAAGCAGAAGGGACATGGTGCTCTAGAAAAGTGGAGGGAATAGCACGTGCAAAATCATGGTGGTGGGAATTCAGGTCTAGACCTTTTTTCCTCCCAAGATTTTATTTATTTATTTATTTATTTATTTATTTATTTATTTATTTTAAAGACTTTATTTATTTGTTTGACAGAGAGACAGCAAGAGAGGGAACACAAGCAGGGGGAGTGGGAGAGGGAGAAGCAGGCTTCCTGCTGAGCAGGGAGTCTGATGCGGGGTTCGATCTCAGGACCCTGGGATCATGACCTGACCTGAAGGCAGAGGCTTAACGGCTAAGCCACCCAGGCACCCCAAGATTTTATTTATTTGACAGGGAGGGACACAGTGAGAGAGGGAGCACAAGCAGAGGGAGTGGGAGAGGAAGAAGCAGGGCTTTCCTTGGAGCAGGAAGCCCAATGCGGGCCTCGATCCCAGGACTCTGAGATCACGACCTGAGCCGAAGGCAGACATTTAACAACTGAGCCACCCCTCAGGTCTAGACCTTTCTATGTGCCTTACAGCATTTTGCCAGGCCACTCAATGTTTTTAAAGGCTCCATAAATATTTCATGAATGAATATTGCATACAATTAGCAAATGCATATGAGGGTGAGTTTGCCTCAAAATTAATAATATCAACAACAAGCCCATTTATCCGGTATTCTACAAATATGGTGTTGAGGACTTTTATGCCCATTGCCTTATTTAATCCTCACAGAAACCCATTTTACAGATGAGGAAAACCAAGGCTTAGGGAGGTTCAACAACTTGCTTAGTGCTACAGAGCCAGAGGTGTAGCTGTCTGACTCCACAGCCTACTGGGAGTTGGGGGGGAAGGTTGAGCCTCTTCTTGGGAGAAGGGAAGCCAAAAGTCACTTTCATGGGATGAGAATCTGTCCTGGGATCACTTCTTCCTTCAACCACTCAGTAAAGAGATGTGTCATTTCTCCTCGATTCATTGTGGCTTTTCTGCTGCTCCTCTCCCAAGAAGCCTACACAAATCCCTCTGCCCCTGGCTGCCCTGTTTCTGATACCACGTAGCCAGGGGAGTTTGTATCTGGGTCTTTACTCTCACTATACTCATAGGATGCTCTCCAGGGTTGTCTCTGACTCATCTTCAGGACTGCAATCTTAGCCCCTTCCTTAAGCTGTACCTCACTTGCCTCCCACATATAATGGGCTTCCTCTGTGAGGTGCCAACCAGGACATCCCCAGTCCACCATCCCTAAAACCACCACTTCCTGGCAAAGCCTTGTATCCTCTTCACTCCTCAGTGTGCCCATCTGTAGAATGGACACACTAATAGTACCCACTGCCTAGGTTTGCTAGAACTCTCCAGTGAGTTGAGGCACGAAGAGCCCTTGGCATGATGCCTGGCCTGTGGAAATGTTCCGTAAGTGTGAGCCAATGACAGGAAGAATCAATGATGGTGTTTTTATTAATGGGGACTAAAAGCTTTCCGTGGGTGTAGGACATTTCCTGAGAGCTCACTGCGTTCTCAGGCCTGAGGAGGGCTCAGTAGTACACAGGAGGTAAAAAGGCATGCCAAGTTCATTGGAGGTAAACGTGCAGGGACAGGGGTTCAGCACCGTGGACAGAGCAGGGATAGCGCCCGGCCGTGCAGACGGGGCCGATCCTAGGACAGTGCTGCTGGAGGAGGAAATTCTGTCATTATTTCATTGAACACTATTTAATGAGCACCTACTATATGTCAGGCTTAGTTCTAAGTGGTGGCACCCGGTAAACAACACAGACAGAAATCCCTGTCAAAGTTCTCCGTGTGTTTATGTTTTACACTGTGGTCTTCTGTCGGGCTCTGGCTTATTTCTGTCAATGGAGGGTAAGAGCCCTCTCTCCCAGATGAAAGCCAGTGGGTCCAGTGTCCTTACCACAAGGCTCGTGTAGGCCATCGACATCACATATAAAACCACCAAACATCTTAAAATCGATTTCTGAATTCTTTGTTTCCCTTCCCTCCTCCCCCATCTTGTAGTGTCTTCTGACACCCAGTAAGCATGTCCCGAAGAGGGGATTTCAGGTGCTTCCCTTGATGGTTGGAATCTACTCTTCACCCGCCCCCAACCCCAGGCTTGGCAGGTCATGGAGGAGGTGCCCAAAGACTAGAATTCACCTCCATTAGAATCCAGGGTCATCCAGACCTGGGGCACACTTAGAACCCAACCAAATAATACAAATAGTAATGATACTGGTAATGGTAATTATAAAAATATTGGTCACGACAGCGTAATAATGCCAATTCTAATAATGATGAAAAGGAAAAGGGAGCAGGAAGAGGAGGGAATAAGAGAGGAGGAGGAAGGCCCTACTTCGCTCCATTTCCCAGATGCAGAAACTGAGGTCCAGAGCCTGGCGGAGCCTATGGGAGTCCCCAGCCTGAGCCCGTCCTCCCACCGTCACCGATTCTGCCCTGGCCAGCATCTGCCTGTGTAACCACATTAATCGGTCAGCGCTGATGGGGCCCCCAAGGGCTGCGCCAACCATTGACAGTTGTGAGGGGGCGTCTCCCGCTGGCCTGTCAGAGGGACCGGCAGTGGGCTCCTCCCCAACCCGCCACTCCCAGCTGTCGCGTCGCCCACGCCCTCTGTGCCCACTTTATAAATAGCCTTGTGCATGTGACCAGGAGCCCGCGGGGGAGGGGTGGTGCTTCCGCCCCAGTGACCCCAATACTGCAGCTCCACTCGAGCTTGAGCTCGAGCGGCGCCAGCGAGCAGTGGGAAAGTGGCAGGGCAGAGATGTGATGACTATCGTGGTGAAGGCGACAGTGACTTGGACTGTTTACTGACGGGGAAGACAGAAGGAGATAGACTTGGTTCCTTCTTGGAGCCCCACCAGCCCTTTCCTGAGCCCCCTCCTCCTCTGAGCCCCACCCCTGATGACAGGGGCTCCTCGGCCTTCCTGACCCCACCCCCTCCCCCACCAAGACCTTCCTCCAGCTCCGGAGCTTCCTTCCCTAGTCCTCTCTCCTCCACCCCTTGCCCCATATCCCATATCCCCTCTGAGTGCTCCCTTGATTCCTCATTTCTCTCTGAGCCCCCTGTCTCCCTCAGAGTCTCCCCCTCCTCCCTCTGAGTTCCCACTGATGAACGTACATTGATGTCCTCATCCTGGACTCACTGAAGGGGCCTGGGAGCCTGAGACTGGCCTCAGCTGTCAGAGCTAGAGTGCCCCCACCCCCATCACTCTGCCGCTGCTGGGCCCCAAGTGAGCTCACTCCCCTCCGGCCCACTGAGGCTTAAGGAGGAGGAAAATGGGTAATCTGAGGGAGTGGGGATGAGAGAGACAGAGACAGAGGAGCGGGGAGAGAAAGAGAACCAGGAAGAGGGAAACGGAGAGAGATACTCCATCCCCCACCAGGAGGAGAGGATGGAGGACAGACCGTGGATGAATGGCCTCCCCTCTGAGCTCTCTCCCTGGTCTGTAAAAAGGGTTACAGAGCAGGTCCTGTGGGCCGGGGCCCAGGACAGGCCTGGCTAGACACCAGTCAGCCCCTCATCTCTCCCTCCAGCCCTTCTTTCCCCACTCTGCCTCTCCTTTTTGCTGGTCTTCCCTACGGGACTTCTGTGTGTCTCCCTCCTTCTGTGTCTCTGTCTCTGACTCTTGTGACTTGTCTATCTCCTCCTCCTCCTCCCTGCCTCTCTTTCTTTCCCCATGTTGATCCTTCCATGTGTGCGTGCCTTTCTCAGCCTGTGTCTCTTTCACTATTCTTCCTCCCTGCCCTGCCCCTGCCTCTGCTTCATCCCCACTCCCAGCTTCACAGTCACGAGGTGTGCAAGCAGGAGCTCCCCCATGGCCTACATGAGGAAGGTCTGTAGCTCCTGCTGGGTTCAGTCCAAAGTGTCCCTGGGCTTCACTCAGCCCCAGGGGTGAGAGGCTGGGCAGTTGAGCTCCCTGTGGGCTGAGTGGGGCTGAGGGTATGAGAGGGAGCCAGTGCGACAGGAGCGGAGCATGCCTTCAAGAGAGGGGGCCTTTGCACGTGCAGTTATGTGCCTTGAACAGGAAGGTAAGGAAGATAGCACATGGTGACTGATTTGGGGGAGGAAGGGAGACAGAGACACAAAGATAAAAGACAGAGAAAGCCAGATCTAGAAAAACAGAGAGAGATGGAGTGAGAGAGAGATGGAGGCCCAGAGATGGGGATTCAGTTGCCCAGTTTCACACAGCACTGGAAGCTGAACCTGGCTCGTCTGACTCCATGCTGAAATGGTGCTCATCACTCCTAATGTCCAGCCAAGGGCTCCCTCTGCACTCTAACCTCTCAAACCCAAACCCAGATGTGATGAGTACGATACACAACCTATTTGCATTTAAAATTTGGGTCTTCTTGGGGGCGTTGGCATTGGCATAGGAAGGTGATCATTCTCTTTCCTGCTCTGCAACTCAGTTCTTCTGAGCTTCGATCCCCCCCGCCCCACCCTGCTACGACCAGACAAGTACACCGTCTGTCTGCAACAGGAACAAACAGTATTTACTGACGAGTGTTTAGAACTACTCCACGTTCCCCACCCTTGATGGGAATTCTCTCTTCACTGGTTTCATTCGGGTGCTTTTGCAAGACAGAAACTCAAGTGATGAGGACAGAGACATGAACCCAAGATGGGAGGCCATGGTGTTTGCCTGGAAAAGGGCTGAACTTGACTCTCAAAAGAAAAGAGAGAATAGAAACACAATTTTGTTTCTAGGAATTTACCCTTCAACTTACCGGCACATACTCTTTAAAATAGAAAGTTTCTACAGAGGGTGTAGAATGCTGCTGTAGGAAATAAAATAATGCACACAATGTACACGATCGCTGAATCAGAAACCGTCTATCTCTATCCACTACAAGGAACTGGTAATGTTGATTGCACCAGGTGGGATTGTGAGGGCTGGGGTAGAAAAGAGCCTTATTCTCATTGTATGCCAATTTCTTGGTTGCCTTGGATTTTGTAAAATGTGCCTGTATTGCCTACGCAAACAGAAACGTTCACTGAAAAAGAGAAAGGGAGAAGAATTGTGGAAAGCAGGAGAAAGGGCTCAGTTTGGGAGCCAGTTTTGGGTGGAGACAGAGAGTGAATGGTAGAGAAAGATGTTGGGGGCAGCTGCAGGGTGCGAGAGATGTTGAAAGTAAGTTTAATATCCTGTGAGAAAAGCCAGTAAAGAGTGGAATTCCTTCAAGTCACTTGGGACTGTGGGGTGATGTGAAACATAAAGAGACTGGACCACGTGGGACCCTGTCGTATATTCAGGATTCACCTTTCATAAGCAAGTTGGGCTGGACAAGCTCTAACATCTTCCCAGCCAGGGCTGGGATGTCTCTGTGGGCACTACAATCAACTCTCTGGGCTCTTCCATTCCACCTCGCCCAGTCCCCTTTGAATATAAGACCTCAAACCCCTGGAACATTTGGTAGGACAGACTGAGCTGGATAACTGGGGGAGAAGTCTCACTGGCCTGACAGGTGGAGGGGGTCATTGGAGATTGTCTTTCTCCTCTCTCTCTCCCTCCCCAACTGTTCTCTCTGTGCTGCAATCTTGGAGGGCTTCCTGTGGGAGGCTTCTCCTGTCCCCTGCCCAGCTCCTTCTTTTGAATCCTGTTCGATTGTGGGTAAGGGCACAGCTGGAGGTGGGGGAGCTTTGGGGGAATTTGATGGGGAGGGAGGAGGGGCAGAAATTACGCCCAGTGTCCAAATTTCCTTCAACCCCTAGGTCTGCCTGTGCTCATCTGTCTGATGGCTTCTTTCTCTCCCTCTCATCCCTACCTCCCTCCTCTCCTTCCTGTTTCTCTTCCTTTCCTTGTCTCTTTGTCTCTGTCTCTGATCTCATCTCTTTATCTTGCTTTTGTTTTTGTTTTCTGTTTGGTCTCTTGATCTGTCTCTTTTGCTCTCTATCTTTGCCTTTCCTCTTGTCTCTTTCTTTCTGTATCTCTCCCCCTTCTGTCTCTCTTGTTATATTTCTATTTTGGTGTGTCTCTCTGTGTCTCTGTCTCTGTCTTCTCTCAACTCTCTCCCCATCTCCCTTCCCTATCTCTGTCTCTCTCCACAGTCAAAAAAGCCAAGTTTGATGGTGCCCAAGGTAAGTGGCCTCTATTCCTGCCCTGTCCTGTGTTGTCTGTCTGTCTATGTCTTGAAGAGATAGGGGAGGGGGTCTGAGCCAGTGATAGGGGACTTGGGCTGCATGTCTGCGGAGCATCACAGAGTGTCAGACTTGTCCTGGATCCCAAAGTCTCCCCAGCCATCTCCTGGAGAATCTAATGGAGGTGGCTCACCCTGAGCCAGGGGCCCTTCCCAGGATCCTAAGAGACAGGGTGGGGATGCTTAGATCAGGCTACAGGTGGGAAAAGTGATGCTCAGAGAGTGAAGGGAGTTTCTTACTGTCAATTTTGTTCCACTATCTGGGGCCTCAGTCTTCCCAGCTAAAAACCAAGGCTACTGTACACAGTAATTTCTAAGCAGCAAGATTAGGCATCCCTGATGCCTAACATCTCCCTGAACCAAGGTCCTTCCCTTGCACTCTGAGGGACTGGCGGGGAGGGACTCTGGGGTATAGGCGCAAAAACAGCTCAGTATATTGGACCTCATTATTGGACTGTGGCCCCAAGTACACGGAGACCCTGGGGCATCACAGCAGGGTCATCTAGAGCTTGGGAAGGGGGATGGCGGGGTCCCCGAGCTCCTGTGCTGACCCCTGCTCTCACCACCACAGAGAAATTCAACACGTACGTGACCTTGAAGGTTCAAAATGTCAAGAGCACGACCATCGCTGTGCGGGGCAGCCAGCCCAGCTGGGAGCAGGATTTCATGTTGTGAGTCTGCAGTGACTGGGCTAGCATGGCCTGGCACCTCGCTGGTCCCACAGAGCAGAGCTGGACACCTGTGTGTCGTCTGGGACTCCACTCCCTCCTCCCTCAGCCCCATGTCCAGCCATCAGCTTTGCCTCCAAAGCACTTCCTAAATCCAGTTGCTTCTCTTTATCTCCATGGCCACCAGCCAGGTCCCCGCTGCCCCACCAGCCTCCGCCCCTGGCCTCCTGCTGCTGCCCGCCTCCTGCCTCCCAGCAATCTGTTCTCCTCCAGGCAGCCAAGGGGATATTTTTAAAACTGCAAATCACATCCTGTCACTCTCTAAACTTGCCCATGGCTCATGGCTTGTGAACCTCAGAACAAAACCCACACTCTTCTCCACAACACCCTCTTTCCAGGCCTGGCCCCTGTGACCTGCCAATATCTCCCTCCATCTCTCCTGGCTCACCTGCCCCAGCCACCTCCACCTCTGGACCATTCTTCCAACATGTCCAGTTTGTTCCTGTCCCAGGGCCTTTGCACTTGCTCTTCTCTCCTCCCCCCTCCCCCCTTGTACTTCGAATCTCCACTGAGTCACCTCCTCAGGGAAGCCCCCCCCCCCGACCACCATCCCCAAGCTGCGATTGGAGAGTAATTTCAGATCTAGCCACCAATTATCATTTAAGTCATTTGTGTGATTTCTTGACACATTTCTGGCCCCTGATCCCGGACTGTGAGCTCTAGGAGGCTAGGGTCCCATTGGTCTCTGTCTCCACTGTTAGTCTTACCCCCCATGCCAAGCACAAGGCCTGGCACACAGTAGGTGGCTCAATAAATATTTGCCTAATAACTGAATGAATTCATGACCTGGATCCTCCCCTCAACCTGGAGCCACTCAGGGCCTCATATTACATCCCATCTTTTCTGATGTTGACCAACAACTTGTTCTATGCCCTTTTCTAAGCCTTTGATTAAATTAGTTTTCCCCACAGCCCTGGGAGGGAGGGCGCTATTCTAATCCTCATTTTACAGAAGAGGAAACAGAGGACCAGAGAGGCAAAACCACTTGCTCAGTGTCACACAGCCTATACTTGGCAGAGCTGAGATTTGGACCCCAGCAGCCCTCAAATCCTTGAGCAGAGCTTGGCTGGGGACTAGCAGTGGTGGAGGCCATGAGAGAACTCAGAGTTGGGATCTTGGAACAGAGAAATTTAGGGAAAGAGGGGAGGAGCAGGCCCTACAATTCTAGGGAAGATGTGAAGGGGGAGAGACAGACAGTGTGGTCCTCAACTTCCTGAAAGCCAGTTACTGAATGACTAGGTCATAGCTATATGCAAAGAGAATCCTTAAGATAAATCTTTGGTAAATTGGCAAATTCAGTGAACTGGACATTCACCAAGGATTTCCCCCAAATCTGCATATTTCCAGGGTGGACTCTGCACGGAAAGCGCTTAGAGGTGGTATCATTCATGTTTTCCCAGGTGTCCCCATATCATTGGATGGAGGTGACTCTGGGAAGGATGGAGGCATCCAGAATGTCCTTATCCTGGGGTAATAGGGAGCCACAGTGGGTGTTTGAGCCTCTTCCTCACTTAACCAGTATTCTCAGGGTCTAAGGGCTCAAGGATGAGCCAAGGGAGTTGGGGGTGTAGGAGATGTGTGATATCTTTCCCCACTCCCTCCTTCCTAGCTTGTAATCCTGGTTCTGCTGTGATACCCTGAGCATGTAACTTAACCCTTTGGCCTCAGTTTCCCCTCTGTGAAACAAGAACCACTGTGTTACCTTCTTGGTAAGACTCACCCATTCTGGGTTTGAATTCCAGTTGGCTGTATGTCCTAAGGCAGATGAACTGACTTTTCTGAGACTTCACTCCCTCACTCCTACCCCTTCATGTCCCTCCCCTCTCTCCACAGCGAGATTAACCGCCTGGATTTGGGGCTGACAGTGGAGGTGTGGAACAAGGGTCTCATCTGGGACACAATGGTGGGCACCGTGTGGATTCCCCTGCGGACCATCCGCCAGTCCAACGAAGTGAGTGGTGGGCTGAGGGTTGGGGAAGAGTGCTTTGGAGGGGCCCAGAGGCCAGTGGCCTACACAAGATGAACATGTATCTCTGTCCCCCAACAATGTTTGTGATGGTGGCTCCAAAGTCACCAGGGTCTGAACTCCTTCCATCTTGTTGCTCTGCCTTTCTCCCTGTGCAGCCCAGGATGGCTGCTGGAGGATCGCCATTACATCTGCATTGCCGTCAAGGGAAGAAAAGGTGTCAAGGGAGGGGCCTCACCCTCTAGGTTAAGGGTCTAACCTAAAAGCTGCTCACAGTACTTCACTCACATCCTATTGGCTAGAACTTAATCATGTGGACATGTAGCTGCAAGGGAGTCTGCAAAATGTAGTCTTAAGCTGCACAGCCCTGGGTCCAGGTGAAAATGTATTTCTATGGAAGAGAGGAGGAGGGTTATGGTGGGTAATTAGCACTTTGTGCAGGGAGAAGGCAACACCAGCCCTGAAGGTACTAGACAATAATCTTGGCCTCCTCCCTGGACTCCAGGCCTTATATCTCACCCCTTCCACTCAGACATTTCGTGCTGAGCCCAGCGGGATCTTACTACCTGAGGACCTTTCCTTGCCATCCCTGCTCATCTCCTTTGGGAGGCCTTCTTGATGGCACTTGCCTACATTGCCAGTCTCATCTCCCCTACCCCGCCCCCCAACTTCCACCCCTTATAGGCCCCAAGGATGGCTTCTGAACCTTCAAATGTGCTGTTCCCTGGGTTCCAAGTATCCCTTCCATCACCCTCTAAGCTCAGCTCCCATGCCTGCTCCTCAGGAAACCTTCCCTTACTTCCCTCTGAATACCCCAGCACCCTCACCCTCCTTCTGCCTCTGCCCTGACCTCTCCAGGCTGGAGGTTAGTGTGTCATGCTCTGTCTCTTGTGACTGCAGGACTAGTTTGGTCACTTGGGGTGGGGAATTCTCCCGTGGATGAAGCTAGGGTCACATACACCCATGAGAGATGAGACATGGCTATGCAAGCTTGGGGCCTCCCCTGCCTGGCCCCACAGGACCTTCTCTCCGGGTCCCTGCCTCTGGGTTCCTTGGACCCACCATGTTGCCCTGGACCAGAACCTTCTCTCTGAGTCTCAGTTTCCTTGTCTGTAAAGTGTGGGCATGACCCTTGCTCTTAGGGTAAGGGCGAGATGGGGGGAAGTGCATCTTCTGTGAAAGTAGGGAACCTGCTGGTCAGTGTGCAGCAGATCCCTGCTCCAACCTGCATCACTTTGGGCCCTGTCACCCACCCCAACCCCCAGGAGGGCCCTGGAGAGTGGCTGACACTGGACTCTCAGGTCATCATGGCAGACAGTGAAATCTGCGGCACCAAGGACCCCACCTTCCACCGCATCCTCCTTGACACCCGCTTCGAGTTGCCTTTAGGTGAGTGTGGGGGGCACAGGACCCTCACCAGACCCAGGCGAATGGCCAGGCCTGGGTGGGTTCAGACTGCCCTTATTCTGAGGATGAAGTTTCCTATCTCCTGAGGAGGGAGTTTCCCAGTTGCAGGGAGTCAGCGGAACATGCACCTGCCATGTGCATAGCACACCCCAGCGCCCCTAGGTCACCAACGGGCAGCAAATTCTTCTTGACCTATGGGGCTTGGGTCTGAACTGCCCCGGGCCGGTCCTTGGTGAGGTCTTAGGATGCAGGGTGAGCTGGAGATAGGAGGAGAGACAAACAGAGACAAAAAGACATGTAGAGAAAAACAGAGGCAGAGACACGGAGAGGCCTCTCTTTCTCTCTTGGAAGCAGCTCAGTTCTCTCCACAGCATCTTTCCAGGAACCCATGGTTTCCCCACCCTTGGAATGCTAGGAGGCATCTCCTCTCTCATCCTCCATTCATTCCCAAGGCAGCTCTGGGGTGCGGGGTGGATGGGACACCACCCTCTTCTCCTTTCCTCTTCCTACATCCCCTTGAGACCAGCCCATAGGCCTGCAGGATGCACTGGATGGAGGCTGAGGGGCAGGGAGGGGTTCCGGACTCACAGCCAGGGCTCCGCTTCCAGACATTCCCGAGGAGGAGGCGCGCTACTGGGCCAAGAAGCTGGAGCAGCTGAATGCCATGCGGGACCAGGATGAGGTGAGCGTTGGAGGGGAGACTCTTCTTTCTGTGCCTGTGCCTCCCTCTGTCTCTCTACGTCCTCTGCTTTCTGTCTCTGTTTCTCTCTCCACTTGTCTCCCTCTGTCTGTGTCTCTAACTGGGGACAAAAGCAGAGCCTGATTTGGTCCTGTCTCAAAGCGATGAGGACATCAAAGAACATACGGTCCACCAGTGATGGAACAATTTCAATCGGCTCGAGTCCTGCCCTTGCCAGATACCCTCAAGGAGACACGGGGCCCCCGCAGCAGCCCTTACATCCGCTCTCCGCCCCACACCCCTCAACTCCTCAGGTCACGCTTTTGGACTTTTCAAAATTCTCCCCCACCAGCCCTGGCCTCTGGACCCCTGTTCTTCTGTGACATCTCCCTTCTTCTTGGCTCTGTATCATCACAATGCAAAGACCCAGTGGGGCCCAGAAGGCAGCCTTCGGAAGGCGAGGGCCGGGAAGAGATAGCAGGCAAGACCAGAGCTCTCTTCAGTGGGAGGTGGAGTACAAAAAGGCAACAACACTCATATGATAATAGTTTTTGTCCAAACCTCATCGCTGATCTTTCTTCTGCTTCCTGCTTCAGTTTCCCCCGCTGCTCTCTCTTTCTCCCACTTCTATTTGTTTCTTTCCCTCATCTGGGTTTCTTTCTTTTTCTGTCTCTGTTTCCCACTGTTTGTGTGTATGTGTGCGCGTGCGCGTATCTTTTTCTGTGGACATCTGCATCCTTCTCCTGCAGACAGAGTGGATTTGGGAGGCAGGGGTAGTCAGGATGGAGCAGAGCAGAGGACCATCTTGGTCCTCTGGCTTCTGGCCCCTCCTGAGAGGAACCCTCTCTCCTTCCCTACCTCTCAGTATTCATTCCAAGATGAACAAGACAAGCCTCTCCCTGTCCCCAGCAACCAGTGTTGTAAGTACCTCTCGATTCCTCCCTGGGCATTAGCTGAAACCTCATCCCTCCCCTACCCATGACTGTCCTGAGTAACAGACCACTCCCCTCCAGAGGAACAGGTCCTAAGAGCACACAGTATCTGTTCACGGTGCAGTGAAAAGAAAGGATCCGGGACTCGGATGTGAGTCCTGTCTTGCTGTGTGGTCATAGGCATGCCCGTGTCCTTCTCTGATCCGTAGGGTCCCTCTCCTTGAAATAGGGCATCTGACAGTGCCCTCACTCTGAGGGCTGTTGGAAGGGCACGGGAGAGTCCTTCTAGAGATTTGAAAAACACTTTGCAGACTCTCTAATTCCACTCATCAGATCCTGGATGAGGACCTATAACTCATTCGACAAGCTTTCACGGGGCCCACACAGACCCCACCCCCCCAAGTAGCCCACAGATAACACAGGTACAACAAGCACATGTACAATGGACGAAGGCTGTTTCATCTGCCCATTGTCTTAGATAGAGAAACTGAGGCCCAAGAGGAGAAGTAACTTGCCCAAGGTCACACACTCAGCAGGAGGCAGAGCTAGGATTTGAACTCAGGGTCTGAGGGACTCCAACTTTCCTTCTCTTTCCACTAGTGGCTCTGCATCTATGGATAATGATGATCATGTTCCTCTGGCTACACCCCCTCCATCAAGGCTGAAGTTTTCAGGAATGTTTATCCTCCTTGGCCTTGTGGATACTCAGATGCACCCAGACCACTTCTACATGGGCCAAGGAGGTGTCTGTCCCCTAAGAGTGCCCCTGAGTCCCCTGGAGTGAGGAGGAAGTGACAAATCGTATAGTCTCAGGGCAGAGCCCCACCCAACATTTTGACCCCACCCCACCTTTCTACCTCTTTCTCCTTTTCCATCTGCTTCCCCATCCCCCTCTCATGCCCTCTCACAGTCTCCCCTGTATCCGTTGTCGACCCCCCATATGCCCAGGAGGGTAATGATGGAGCCCGGTGGGTGGAGGGGCTGGGGGACTGCAGTTGGGAGACCCCATTTCCACACTAATTTGGGAGTGCTATTGAGAAAGTCCTCCGACTTCCCTACCGGGGAGGGGTCATCACTGCCCTAAGAAATTACTAACCCCCTCCCTGGCGAATGGTGTCACTGAAGGATTGAGGTGGGGACAGTGTCAGGCAAGTGGAGACAGGAGCAGATGATGAAGAACAAACACATGGACAGGTGGCCTGACGGGAGGGGTGGGTTCGATTTGGGAATGGAGACCAACCCCCGGCATTTACCTCCGAGTTCTTTTGAGAATGTTTCATCACGACCATTCTTTGGAGGAGGCATCCAAGTGTCAGAGGAGATAGGATTCTGGTTCAAGGCATTTTTCCACGATGCCAGGTGCTGAGGATGAGGGGATGAGGGAAGATGTGGTTCTCTCCCTGGTCCTCCGAGGCTGTGTGACTTTAGGCTGCTCACTCTACCTCTCTGAGCCCTCTTTCTTCAACCGTAAAATGAACAGAATGATGAAGACCCACCCATCAGGAGTGTTTCAAAGTTTAGATTTCCAATTCCGTGTTTCTTTCCTTGTATTCCAGAAGGGGGAGGGAGAGTGGGGAGTGCTGACTCCAGAGTTCAGAGTTGGAAAACCCTGGGCCTAAATGCCCCCTTTGTTACTTCCTGGCTGAACTTGTGGCCTCTGCAAAAAATGGGGATATACCCCCAGCCTCCCAAGGTGATGATTGAAGGTGTCACTGGTTAAAGTGATATTCTGAGAAGATACTCAGGGCAGGAGGGGATCGGGGTCCTGGGGTGGGAGGAGGAGATGGGGAAAATGAGGAGGATGGGGGAGTCTCCCTCCCCATGCCCCCCCTCTGCCTGCTCCCTTTTATTATCTCTGCCCCTTCTCTTTGTAGGCAACTGGAATTATTTTGGCTGGGGTGAGCAGCAGAGTAAGTACTCAGCTTGATGTTCTGGGAGGCCATGGGGAGGTGGGTGCCTTGGCAGCCCTGAGGCCCCCGCTCCACTGCTAGGGAAGCAGGGAGCCTATGACGGGCACACTGGGGCCTGAGGACTGGCAAGGCCCCTCATGTGCCCTCCTGTCCCCTGACCTTTAACGTCTGTTTTGAGGGTCCTGTTCTGTTGTGGGGACTGGGCACCATTATTGGGGTGGAGGGATTCAGCTGGGAGGAGTGGGCATTTAGACCAGAGACCTGCCTGTCTCCAGCTGGGCACTGTGACCCCTTCCCCTCTCCCCTATCCCCCATGTATAATGTCATCTTCTCTCCTGGGACTCCTTCCTCTTTTTGTCTCCCCATCTTCCTCCTCCACCTGGAAATGGGCCCCAATGTCACTTGGGAGTGGTAGATATGGGGTGAGAGGGTTTCAGAAGGGGCAACTGGGCAGGGACCGCCCCCCCCAGGCACATATCACTCCAGAGACCTCAGCTTCCAAAGTTCCCCGCAGTCTTCCTCCAATTTAACCCCAGGGGAAGGAAACAAGTCACCTCTTCCCCGCCCCGCCCCCCCCCAAAACTGGATGCTCATTTACCTCCCTGAGGAATAGCTCCCTTTTCTCCATGTCCTACCCCTTCCAGAGAAATCCAGTCTTCTAGCCTGAGCATGAATCTACCTCCTTCCCTCTACCCCACCCATTGGGAACGCCTCCGCCCGGTGCCCATATCCTGATGGACAACCTCCACTATGCCCTCCCTCCAGGACCAGGGAAACTGTTTACAAATACTTTGATCCAAAACAATTTGTCAAAAACCAATGTAGCCAAAATAGGCATTTGGCAAACAAGAAGGCCTGGTAACAAACAGTTTGCCACAAACAAACAATACAATCAAAAACAAAGACGTTTTTGGCCGAAACCAATTTGGCAAAAGCTGATAATTGGGTCAAGAAGAACAAAGACAATTAGGTCATTTCATCAAAACCAGAGTGGCTAAAAATGCCTATCGGGAAGCAGGCAATTTGTTCAAGAACTATTTGGTAAAAGGCAGAGTCTGGGTGAAAGCATCCAAGAAAAGAATCCAATAGGAAGCAATTTGCCCCTAAAACAAAACAGTTTGTCAGAAAAAAAATTAATAATCTGGTGAACACGCCCACAGCCTCATGCAATTTGGTTGGAAACATCTTGGCCCGGTCAAGGACAGTTTGGTAGAAAGAATGCCCATTTGACTAAAGACTCTACATACCCAGGTAATTGGGTAGAAAACAAGTTGGTCAAAGGAGCAATTTGATGACACTGATGAATTGTCCAGAGTTCCCATGGGGGACTGTCTGGGATTTCAGACCCCCCACTTCAGGCTTTTATGGCCTCACAGTTACACCCTGATGCCTGCAGATCTGACCCGTGGAAATTCACATCTGCTGCTGCCTAAAAGGCTAGCACTCAATTGGATGGCAGCCACGTATGACAGGGACAAGATAAAAAGTTTGTAGGTCACAGTGGCCCAAGTCACTTGAGAAACCAAGAAGCCAGAACTACCTTGGTAAGGCCAGCTTTGCTCGCTGAAAATGAAGTTAAGGTTTCTCAAAAGGCAAAATAGGCTTGGGGATGAATCCAACTAGCTCTCTATGTGAAGTGTGAAATTAATTTTTTAAACAGTTTACCACATTTTAAGAAATGGACCTATTTGTCAAATATATAGAAACAGACATGCTTAGCTGGGAAAAAATTAGAAGGTTAAAATAATAAGGCAAGAAAAACACACAAACATCTGGAAATGAGTAAAAAAACTTACAGGCATAAAAAGGGGCAAGCCGCCTCCTTGGCATTTAATGTCACCAGTAAATTGATGCCATGGTCAAGAGTACCATAGGCCACCCAGTCAGGGTTTTGATTTAATTTTTTTTTTTTGCAACCCATTTGTTTTCAAGTGTTGCTTTCTATCTTATTTTATTTTTTTAGAGAGAGGGAGAGAGAGCAGGCGCAAGTGTGCCTGAGTGCAGGAGGGCGGGGAGGGACAGAGGGAAAGAATCTTAAGCAGACTCACCACTGAGCGCACAGCCAGACTGGGCTCGATCTCACAACCCCGAGATCATGACCTGATCCGAAATCAGGAGTGGGCCACTTAACTGACTGAGCCACCCAGTGTTGCTTTCTAAATGAATTGAGTCTCTCCCATCCCACCACAATCTAACATCCTTCCACACTGTTCTCTTTTTATCAAGAAAAATAAACCAAACTAAAACGTCCCTTAATTCTTATAAAACACTTGAAGTTCAGCAATTTCACCCTTTTGCATTTTAGCGATAGATTCTGAGTGTGTGGTGATCTTGCCAACCTAAGAATCTAATCCCTTTTGAGGGCTGTAGTATCTGTCAGAGCCTCTTCTTTGTGCCTACACGTGTGAGGTCAGATTTAGGATCCGCATCCTCGGACATCATGAAATCTCTCAGGGTTAAAGGAAATAAGTATTCCACCTTGTCCTCCTGATCTTCCTCTAAACGTCCCCCTGAGTGTTTGTGTGACTCACCGCCTGTTGGAGAAACTCATCTTGTCTTCAGAAAGCCTGGACTTTAGCAAAGTCCATTCTCACATTTGAGCTGAAGGACACCCTCCAATTTGTCCTTGTCCTCCTCACATTGTAGGATCTACCTTGGACCCCAGACTATGAGTCCAGTCTTACCAGCAAAGCAGGGTTTTCACCTCCCTTATCCTAAAGCCTCTATTTCTATTAACATGGCCCAAGATCCTTCATTCATTCTGGCAAAGATTCCTCTTCTTGGGTTAGCAGCCAGTGAAGATTCCCTAGTCTGAGAAGTCTGAGAGACTGCATTGACCTCCACGATGTGCTCTCCCTCTCCCTCCCCTCCTCTCTCTTCTAGATGATGACCCTGACAGTGCAGTGGACGATCGTGACAGTGACTATCGCAGCGAGACAAGCAACAGCATCCCACCACCTTATTACACTACATCCCAGCCCAATGCCTCAGTCCACCAGTATTCTGTCCGTCCACCACCCCTTGGTTCCCGGGAATCCTACAGTGACTCCATGCACAGTTATGAGGAGTTCTCTGAGCCACGGGCCCTCAGGTGTGTGATCTGTGGAGAAAGGGATCCATGTGTGTGCATGTGTGTGTATGTGACTGTGTGTCCCAGAGTGGAGAGAGGAGTAGGGGACTTGGGCAAGATGGAGGGGGAGGTAAGTGGGTCTAGGAAAGCAGCATCCATACTCTCTTGTAGGTAATAGAGCCCTTTCTTTACCCTTGATCTCGTAAGAAAATCTCCCAAGCTTGGTAAAAGGGGATCTGCTTTGGCTGAAGAAAGAGGGATAAGTCAGGAGGCCCCTGAGAGGTGCCCCTGAAACATGGGGGTGCCTTGGCACTGGGGCACTGGTTTCTGTGTACTCTCTAACTGGGCAGGGCAGGAGCAGGTGGAGGAAGAGACTAGCGTTCATGGAGGGTGGTGAGGCATAGTGATATTGGAAGGACTCCCAGCAAGCAGCCACCTGGTGGTCCTGGTATGGTGCTGCCCGGCCCTCCCTAATGGCCTGACTCTGTGTTTCTGACTGGCAGCCATGGGCACGGTGACTCGGGAGCTGTCCCTTGAAAGTAGACTGTCCCTAGATCTGTCCCATAGGTGGGTACCCTGGCCCTCATGGGCCATGCCACTGCCCTATGCAGGGTGCTGATCCTCAAGCCTAAGAGGCTGACACTCGTGCCTGCCATCCTTCCTCGCTGACCTGATCACCCCAGCCCTGGTTTCCAAATAGAACGATGACAAACATGGTATTAAGCAGATTGAATATTTGTAAAGCGCTTACAGTGGTGTCTGAAAGTGTTACACAGGGACTGTTAGGTACACAGCACAAATAATAGCATTTGGAGATAACCATGCGCCCAGCGCTGGACAGGCACCTTCCCTTCATCATCTCATTTTATTCTCTGGGTGGGAATCCTATTGGTCTCATTTGACAGGCAGGGAATCAAGGCACAGAGAGATTAAGTCGCTTGTTTGAGGTCACACATCTGGTAAGTCATAAGGACTAGTGTTTATGGTGAACCTACTGGGTGCCAAGTAGTGGCCAGGTATGATTTTTGGTTGTGGGTCTTTTTCCTAAATATTTGTTCCCGGAAGAATACATTTCCTTCACGAAAGCATCACTCGCATTCATTTGCATACTCAAGGTAAGCCATTATGGGAATACTGTTTCAATGTATTGGAAAGAGCTGAGAGTAAGATATCAAATATTAATAAACTATTAACTCTTAGAAGAAGGAAAAGTCTTCTCTTGGAGAAAAAGAGCTGGAGAGTGACCATAGCATCAGACCCAGAGAAAGTGCCAGGAAGTGTTTGGTTGGAGGAGTCTGTCTACTGTGAGCATTCCTGGGACAGAATGGGGTGGCGGAGGTTGGAGAAAGAGGAGTCTCCTCCCTTCCTGCTGTGGTCAGGCCACGCAGGGGTGAGGGAGAGGATGCAGAGACAGAAATGGCCTGCGTTCCCCTGAGAGTGACTCAAGCCACACTCCCCAGCTATCCTATGGCTATGCTGCCTAGTGCTGAGTGATCTGAGAGGCTAGGGACACAGAGCCAGACACGGACATTCCATCCCACAGGTCAGGGCTTGATGGGAAGGAGGGACCAGACTCTAGCAGTGGGGAAGGGTAGGGAGGGCTTCCTGGAGGAAGGGGCCTGGGAGATGGCCCTTGAAGAATAAATGAGAAGTCCGAGGAAGGGAATTTCAGGCAGAGGAAACAGCTCAGCCATAGACTGGAGAGGTGCAAGGTGCCAGATCATGCAGGAAGGCCCTTGCGTGGCTAATTCAGGGCCATGGGAACCAGGGGAAGTGTCTGATTGGGGTAAGAGCTGTGTTGGGACTCGGTATGTCAGAGCCAGGATGGGAGGATGGCCCCAAAGCCAAGCCTGGGACAAGGTATGTGGTGCCTGAGGTTGGAGGTGGAAACTTCCAGGCTCCTGTTGGGATCCCAGTCCTAGGCTGTCCCCCTTACCAGGGACCCCAGAATGTGCTGGGCTGGACTTCAGGGGTATTCATCAGCAGAGGAAGCTTGGAGTCCTTTCCAGCCAAGTAATACCTGCTGATCCCCCACCTGTTTCCTGCCATCTACAGGGATGGGCACTAAAAAGCAATCAACTAAACTCATAAACTAGTAAACAATGGCTAGAGGGAGAAACCCCCATTTTGATTGCTACAGCATCCCTGGAGCTGGCTGGAGAAAGGGGTCGCAGTCACTGAGAGTGGAGGAAATATGTAAGGCAAAGAATGATGTTTGTCGAGTGACTGAATGACTGATTAGAAGGGGGATGAGGGGTGGCCCATGTGTCATGCTGCCCGCCCTCAGGCAGAGATAGAGATTTCTTCCTAGTCACGTCCAGCATGATCCAGGGTGCATATTAGGAACATATAAAGACCTGACTTGGCCAGAGTGTGGGGGAAACTCACTCACTCAAAGAAGTGACATTTCAGTGGGCACCAAAGGGTTTTGCCAGATAAAGAACATGAGGAAGGGTGTTCCTGGCAGAAGGCACAGGAAGGGCAAAGGCCCGGAGGTGGGCACGAGTGTAGCGTTTTGTAGGAACAGTGAGAAAGCCGATGTGGCTGGAGCAGGGGGAGAGAACGGAGCTCGGAGGGAGATGAGGTGGGAAGGCTGGGCGGTTTGAGCCACCTTGGGTGTAGGGCATGGCACAGATTTTATTCCAAGGGCTCTAAGGAGCCACGGTAGGTCTTGGAACAGGGAGGTATGTGATTGTGTTTATGATTTGAAGAAGTCCCTCTGTGGCTTCCGTGGGAAGCAAGAACTGTTGGGGATAGGAGTGGATGTTGGGGCTGCATCTGGTGGAGATGGCAGAGCCTGGACTAGGGTGGGGCCCGGGGTGCAAGGAAGTGGATGCATTTTGCATATGTTTTCGAGGTAGAGCTGAGGAGACCCACTGCAGGGTCGGCTGTGAATAGAGGTTGAGGCAATGAGTGGAGGCAGGGAGGCATGGGACCCTGGTGTATGATGAGGCTTGGTGGTAGGAGGACGAGGTTGTTTCAGGAGCACTAAGTCTCCAAAGGCTGGCGGTGAGGGCGCTCATTGGGGTCCCCAGCACATAAAAAGAGCTTTTGCAGTCTCCACAGTGCATGGATGGGAGTGACGCACAGTAGGTCATCAATGACCACTAATGTCATCGATCGAGTTTACTGCCTCTACCACCAGGGGAAACACCAGGATAGCCGAGATTTTTGTTTCTTTTGTTCATGGCTGTGTTTCCCAGGTCCCTAGGGCAGAACCTGGTGCACAGCAGGTGCTTAACCAATGCTGAATGAATGACTGGGTGATGGAACCTGTGTGACCGGGGCTGGGTCAGGCAGCGGCTCTGTGCCTCCGCTGCTGAGCCCTGGCTGGTCCCCACAGCCCCACCGGCAGTAGCCGCTATGCCTCCTCGGGGGAACTGAGCCAGGGCAGCTCACAGCTGAGCGAGGACTTCGACCCAGACGAGCAGAGTCTGCAGGGCTCCGAGCTGGAGGACGAGCGGGACCGGGACTCCTACCACTCCTGCCACAGCTCGGTCAGCTACCACAAGGACTCGCCGCGCTGGGACCAGGATGAGGAGGAGCTGGATGAAGAACTGGACGAGGAGCTGGATGAGGACCTGGAGGACTTCCTGGAGGAGGAGGAGGAGGAGGAGCTGCCTGAGGATGAGGAGGAGCTGGAGGAGGAGGAGGAGGAGGAGGAGGTGCCTGATGACATCGGTAGCTACACCCAGCGTGAAGAGGTGGCCGTGGCTGAGCCCAAAGACTTTAAGCGTGTCAGCCTCCCACCGGCCGCATCTGAGAAGGAGGAAAAGGCTCCGGCTGTACCTGCTGAGGCCCACGACGTGGCCAAGGCAGCCCTTGAGCCGGCTTCGCCAGAGGAGGTGCCCACCGCTGAGCCGGCACCTGAGCCGGAACCCCCCAAGTCTGAGGAGAGGTAATGGGAGGGGATCAAGGGGCTGTCACGGGGTTAGTGGTGCTGTGATGGGGTCAGCATGGACCTGGGGAATGGAGGGGAGTTTGTCACAGGGTCATGGGTGGGGAAGCGGAAGGGAGCCTGAGAGGCCCGTCAGAGGGGGTACAGATGGGTCATCGTGTCTCTGAAGGGCCAGAGAGGCCACGGAGGACCTGACGTCGCTCCAAGGGCGGAGGGTCAAGGGAGGGCCGGCCCTGAGCCTCATGACGCCCCTTGCCTCAGTTTCAGGCGACGAGAGGATGAGGAAGGCCAGGAGGGTCAGGACTCCATGTCCCGGGCCAAGGCCAACTGGCTTCGAGCCTTCAACAAAGTGCGGCTGCAGCTTCAGGAGGTGAGTGAAAGTAGAGCCGCCGGCCGGTCGGGCCCATGCCCCGCCCGCCCCGGTCCCGCGACCCGTCTGCCCACCTCCCCGCGGCTCCCGCACCCCACCCACCCTGGCCCTTTTCCAGGCTCTGCCCATACGGGCCACGACACGCCCACGGAGAGCTTGGCCACGCCCACTTCCGCACCCCATCCGCCTCGCCAACGCTTTCAGACATCCTGGTCTTTCCATGGCTCCGCCCACACCAACCTGGCCCCACCCACACCTGTCATTGTCCTGACCCCATCATTCCTGGCCCAGCCGCTGTCCAATCCGACCCCTCTCTGACCCTAGCTACTCCTTGGCTTCATCTGTCTGCAGAAGGGCCCTTCCCTGTTCTCACCCATGTCTGCCTGTCCTCCTCCCCAAACAGCTGGCCCCACCAGGGCCCAGCCCAGTCTCCCCCATGCCAGCCCCTTCCTTCCATGGGCAAGAAGAAGAGATGAGCTGGAACCTGGAGTTAGGTCATGGTTACAACCGCGTCAGAGGTCAAGTTCATGGATAGGGGTAGAGGTTAGGGATGGGGTAGAGATCAGAGTTAGGGCAGCAGTCAGAGATCAGAGGTCAGGGTTAAAATTGGTGTTAGGGGGAGGAATCAGTGCCTGGGATCACATTGGGTACCAGTGTCAGGGCTGGGGAAAGGTCTGAGGGCTGGTCAGAGAAGAAATTAAGTGAAAGATAGATTAGCATTAGGGTCAAGGTGACTGTTCAGATGGGCAGCAGGGTTGAAGCCATTCATTTACCTCTTCAGTTGCTCAAGCTGCCCTAGGCTGGGGACAGAGCAGTGCCCTTACGAAAGGGGCCCTTCCAAACTGGGGTGAGGCTGGCAATAGGAGATCCTAAAGAAAGTCCCAAAGTCCTACACCATCAAACATCAGAGCCACAGAAATTTCAAATCAAATTTCCTGTGTTTTAAAACAGAATTTTATTTTTTTTAACTAAGTAATCCATTCACATGGCTCTAAATGCAAAGAGTAGAAAAGAATATGCAGCGTAAAGTCTACCGAATAACTTTCAGTAAGTCAGCAAATTAAATGAAAAAACAGCAACTACTCTTGTAATGGAACCAGTCATATGACAAAAAATAAATAAATAAACATGGGCAGGATCTCTGGGTTTTACAGAAGGGGCATAAAACTAATCCAAGACAATCAGGAAAACTCCCTGGAGGAGGTGACACTTAAGGAAAAGTGATATCCCAAATACTGCAATAATACTTCAGAAGAGAGGGCTGGACCCTCCCCACTCTTCGCCCACCATGTCACCCTTTAGTTGCATAGGAGGTGGGGGTGTCAACCCTGGTTCTAGCCTGAGATCCGAATGACAAATGGAGGCTGGTTGGGTGCAGTAGGTGGGAGGGCATACAAAGAGCTAGCACAGCTCAGGCAAAGGCCCTGGGGTACAAGATCAGATGAGCAGGTGAGGCTGGGAGAATGACAGAATCTTATGAGTGTTTGAACCTGTCCCTGGGAATCCCAGGACTGTAGAGCATGAGCTCTTGTTGGAGGTGATACTAACACATCCCCAGTTTGACAGACCAGGAGACCAAGTTCCATTGAGGTTGGTGGTAGAGAGGAGCTCTTTTCTCCCCATTTTACAGATGGAAAACTAAGGCCCAGAGTAAGCTTAAGGACACACAGTGAGGACTAGGCCCCAGGCCTCCTGACTCCCAGCCCAAAGGGGAGACAAAAGTGGGTGGGGAGCCTACCCTGCCCTGGGGAGACACTGATTTCCATTTCCCTTCTTCCCATCAAACATACATATCTGTTTGTCCTACAGGCCCGAGGAGAAGGAGAGATGTCTAAATCCCTGTGGTTCAAGGGCGGGTGAGTAACAGAGTTGGGTAGGAGGAAGTGTTGAACCCAGAGCTTGAGGCTGCTCTACACCATAGCCTCAGGCCAGTGAGGGCAGCAAGGGGTTCCATTTAGACAGGGGACAGACCGAGTGACAGATCGGGTGAAATAATGTAGCCACTATCCTAAGACATTCACCACAGACAGGAGCCAAAGATAGAACACACTGAATCCTCATAACAAACCCACAGGAGGCCTGCTACCCCTATTTTACAAGTGGGGAAACTGAGTCCAAAGAGGTCCATGCCTTGCCCCAGCCGCTTGCATTATTCAAGACCACTCCCCCCTAGAAATAAATGTAAGATAAAGGAGAAGCCTATTTCCTGCAGCATACCTCTGTAATCCTGGAGTGATTTTTTTTTTTTTGCTTTGATTCTCTTTTCATTTTATTTTTATTTATTTATTTTTAAAGATTTTATTTATTTGAGAGATAGTGAGAGGGAGCACAAGCGGGGGGAGAGGGAGAGTTGAGCAGGGAGCCGGATGCGGGGCTCCATCCCAGGACCCTGGGATCATGACCCGAGCTGAAGGCAGACGCTTAACTGACTGAGCCACCCAGGCGCCGCTTGATTCCGTTTTTAAATATCTCAGATTATTGCTGTGGCTGCTGGCTCTTTAATGATAATCACTTGGTCTTATGTGGAGCAATTCATCGTATCTAATTTCTTAAATTCCTAATTTTCAGGGCTTCCTTTTTTTTTTAAGATTTTATTTATTCATGAGAGACAGAGAGAGAGAGAGAGAGAGGGAGAGAGAGAGAGAGGCAGAGGGAGAAGCAGGCTCCCAAGGAGCAAGGAGCCCGATGCGGGACTCGATCCCAGGACTCTGGGATAATGACCTGAGCCGAAGGCAGACGGTTAACCATCTGAGCCACCCAGGCGCCCTCGGGGCTTTCTTCTCCTTCGGCATCTGAGTGGTGAGGTTAGAAGATGTAAAAGATATTTTTAAGTTCCACTAATGTTTTAAAATAGCAGCAGGAGGGTGACTGCCTCTCTTTGTACATCCTTTGCACACAGAGGCATAGAGACAGAAGCTGTGACTCCCAGATGAGCAGGTGTCCTGGGTTGGGGAGCCCAGGACGCAGGGACTGACACAAGGATGTACATGTGATTTATGGAGGAAGTGCCCTCAAGAGAAATCTGTGAGGCAGGCAGGATCAGGCAGGGGATGCAGCCAAGCACAGATGTAGTTCAGGGGTCGCCACACCTCTGCCTGATGGAGCAGGGAGCACTGGTACATGAGTAGCCCCCCCCACCCAGGGCTTGTCCGGAGTCATTGGCTGCCAGACATCTCTCTCAGTGGCCAATGGGAAGCTTCTGGAGAGGAGCCACACCTGAATCCTCTTTGGGATGAGAGCAGCTCTCAGTAAAGTGAATTTGTACAGGCCACAGAGCTCGCTCAGATCCACCAGCTACACCAAAGCTGCCAAGAAGCAGTAGCCTAGATTTCCATTTCCCTTCTTCCCATCAGCATTGACATCACTCCTTCCAGAATAGATTTTAAGATTTTATTTATTTATCTGCGAGAGAGAGAGAGAGAGAGAGAGAGCATGAGCAGGGGGAGAGGGACAAGCAGACTCCTCACCAAGCAGGGAGCCTGATGTAGGGCTCGATCCTGGGACTCTGGGATCATGACCTGAGTGGAAGGCAGATGCTTAACTGACTGAGCCACCCTGGTGATGCATTCCAGAATAGATTTTATTTTTATTATTTATTTATTTATTTGACAGAAAGAGACACAGTGAGAGAGGGAACACAAGCAGGGGGAGTGGAGAGGAAGAAGCGGGCCTCCTGCAGAGCAGGGAGCCTGATGTGGGGCTCGATCCCAGGACCCCAGGATCATGACCCGAGCCGAAGGCAGACATCTAACGACTGAGCCACCCAGGCACCCCTAGATTTTATTTTTTTTAAGATTTTATTGATTTGAGAGAGAGAGCACTAGTAGAGGGGAGAGGCAGAGGGAGAGGGAAAAACAGAGGGAGAGGGAGAAGCAAGCTCCCTGCTGAGCAGGCTCGATCCCAGGGTCCGGAATAGATTTTAAATATATATATCCATTTTCCAATTTTGAGCATAAGGAAAGGTTTCCTGAATATCTTAGTATATTATTTAGATTTGCCTTAATTCAAATTTTCATTAAACGTGGGCAACTGCATCATCTCCCCATTCCCCAGATGAGGAAGCTGACGTCTAGTGTCTTCATTTCCAAGGGCCGCTATGACAAACTACCACAAATGTGTAGCCTAAAACAACAGAAATAGATTCTTCTACAGTTCTGGAGGCCAGAAGTCCAAAATCAAGTTGTTGGCTGGCCCACACTCCCTCCAATACCTGTAGGGGAGAACCTGTCCTTGCTTTGCTAGCTGCTGGTAGTTGCTGGCAATCCTCAGGATTCCTTCGTTTGTAGATGTGTCACTCTAAACTCTGTCTCTTGTCACATTGCTCTCTCTCTTTTTATAAAGACACCAGTTATACTGGATTAGGGGCCCACCTACTCTAGTGTGACCTCATCTTAACTAATTATATCTGTGATGACCCTATTTCTAAATAAGGCCACATTCTGAGGTTCGAGGGGCTAGGACTTAAATGTATCTTTTTGGGAGACACAATTCAGCCTTTACTATCCAGGGAGATCAAGTGATGTCCAGGCCTCAAGTGATGTCTATTGGAGGAAGGGGGAAGCCTGGGCCCTTGACATCCCTGTGTGTGTCTTGCAGCCCTGGAGGTGGCCTCATCATCATTGACAGCATGCCAGACATCCGCAAGAGGAAGCCCATTCCACTCGTGAGCGACCTGGTGAGCGCCTGTGCCCTCTTCTCCCCCAGCGCAGCAGGCCTGCCATAAGCAGTGCTCAACTTGTACAACTGCCCATGGCAGACCTGGGACTGGGAGCTGGCAAGGTGTTCTCTGGAACTAACGTAATCTGATTTTTATCCTGCCTGCTGCGTGGACACTTCAGGCCATGGTGAGTGATGGTGACCTGGGCCTACGGTCTCTATCTCTTCCCAGGAACCCGCCCCCCACTAGGATCTTTCAGCTGGCCCCAACCCATGGGTTCTGGGTGGGGGGATCCCTGCCGTGTCCTACAGTTTATGGGCAGAGGAGAGAGCAGGTGACTCCTGACCTTGGTTCATGGAGTGGCTGGTAGTTTTGTCCTGTGGCTGGTGATCATGCCAGTGCAGCTCCTGAGTCTGGTGGGGGATGGGTGAGTGAGGGGTTTGAGACTGCACACCTTCCAGGGTCCCTTCTAACCTGGAGCTTCTGTCACTTTCCATTTCTTTGCTGGCTCTGCTCCCGCTGCTGTGACCTGTTTCGTATTCGTGGCTGTGGCTTCAATCTGTGGCTGGTGGCCCCAAATCATGGCTGTGGATTCTGCTTGTGGTGACAACCCCATGGGTGTGAATCGACCCCTGTGACTCCCTGGGTGATTTCCCTGCCCCAGTCCCTGGTCCAGTCCAGAAAAGCAGGCATCACCTCGGCCTTGGCCTCCAGCACTTTGAACAACGAGGAGTTGGTGCGTGGGGCCCCTCCCCTTCCACTGGTTGAGGGCTGGGCTGGGCTGGGGGTTCCTGGAGGAGGAGGAGGAGAGTCTGGCCGAGACAGGCATTCCTCGCTCTCCATTCTCCGCAATCTGGTTTCCAGAATTGGGTTGCGCAACACCCTGTCAACATGATCTGTGCACAGGAAACGTGGTCCCACAGTGTGGGCGCAGGGAGAGGGACTGGGACTTTACTATACTCAGCAAGGGGGTGAGGGCGGGGCAGGACAGCGCCCCATGCCGGCCCCCTCCCTCCCCTCAGAAAAACCACGTTTACAAGAAGACCCTACAAGCCTTAATCTATCCCATCTCCTGCACGACGCCGCACAACTTCGAGGTGTGGACGGCCACCACGCCCACCTACTGCTACGAGTGCGAGGGGCTGCTGTGGGGCATCGCGCGGCAAGGCATGCGCTGCACCGAGTGCGGTGTCAAGTGCCACGAGAAGTGCCAGGACCTGCTCAACGCAGATTGCCTGCAGCGTGAGCGCTGGGCTGGAGGGGCGGTGCTCCGCGGGGGGGGGGGGGGGGCAAAAACCGGGGCGGACTCCTTGGCCGGAGTATTGGGGCGAGAGGCGGGAAAAGGAGATGTGAGAGGGTCAGAGGGGTGGGGCAGGACTCAGGGACTAGCTAAACTGTGCAACGAATGGGTTTCCTGAGAGTCAGCGGTTCCGCTGGAGAAAAATGGGTTAGGGTTAGGGTTAGCTCGGGATGGAGGGGGCTCAGAGTGGGGGAGGAGTCAGAGAAGGGGCGGGGTCTTGGCAGAGAGCGGGGATTCAGAGGAGGAGGGGACCCGCGTAGACAGGTGGGGACTGACGGGTCGAAAGGGTAGGAGGATTCAGAAAGCAGGTAGAAAGCTCTAGCAGTTCTAGCTTTGGGGTGCGAGTCACCTGAGCCCCCATGGCTTAAAGTAACCTTGGCCGCAGCCGAGGAAGGTCTGGAATGGGAGTTGGGAGTTCTCGCTCCAGTGAGGGAGCGCGCTCTGGACAGTGACTGCTGTCTGCGTCCGCAGGCGCTGCAGAGAAGAGCTCCAAGCACGGGGCGGAGGACCGGACGCAGAACATCATCATGGTGCTCAAGGACCGCATGAAGATCCGGGAGCGCAACAAACCTGAGATCTTCGAGCTCATCCAGGAGATCTTCGCCGTGACCAAGACCGCGCATACGCAGCAGATGAAGGCGGTCAAGCAGAGCGTGCTGGACGGCACATCCAAGTGGTCGGCCAAGATCAGCATCACTGGTGAGGCCGCGGGGGTTGGGGGGTGGCACAGGGTCCCTTCTTAGCCCCCTGTGCTTCCTCCTATGGCTCTTCCTTTTGCTGCGTGTACTTGAGTATGTCCATGTCTTTCCCATGTCCATATGTGTGAGTGTTTGTGCTCACGGGGTGGGCATGTATGCCTCCAAATGTGAGCGCATGACACTATCTGGATGAGTCTTGATTGGTGCCCCCCCAGAATCAGAGCCCAAGAAGAGGAGTTGAGGGCACATTGTTTCTTTGGGGGGTGATGCCATGGGAGTTGAGAAGTGAGCTTGGGAGGGAAGGAGCCCTTCACAGGGTGCCAATGATCAGGCAATGCTGTGGACAACTGGGGCTCATTCCCCCCGGGGACCACTGGGGGACAGTGTTGAGCTCACACGGCGGAGTGGTCCTACCCGGGGTGGGAGCCTTAGGATGTTTATCCATGCCCAACGTCATTCAAATTTCCCTGAAAGACCCCAAGATGAGGATTTCAGGGCAATGGGTATCCAGGAGATGGCCCCAGGAAGCCCCAGTGCGGGTGGAGACATGAGTCTGGGAGCAGGTAGGGAAGGCACATAAACAGGTGGCTGCCAATAAACAGGTGACTCCATGAGCAACTGTAAGCTCAGTCCTGCTGGAGATTTCAGGACAATGTACAGAATGTCCTACCCAGGGGTGGCCCTGGGGCACCTTCCCATTCTGCATCAGCTGAGGGCTCCCTGGGTGTTAACTCTCTAGCAAGTCCTTCATGTCTTGTGGGTATCCCCATGGGCTCCTGTGGTCAGAACAAAGCCCTCAGGCCATGTCACAGGTGTCTCCAACAAGCAACCTGGAGCCCGTGGCAGGGACTGTTTTCAGCATACCTCACTCCTTGAGCCCATATTTGTATTTGTTCTGTGTGTCTTACAGTGGTCTGTGCCCAGGGCTTGCAGGCGAAGGACAAGACAGGATCCAGTGACCCCTATGTCACTGTCCAGGTTGGGAAGACCAAGAAACGGACAAAAACCATCTATGGGAACCTGAACCCTGTGTGGGAGGAGAACTTCCACTTGTAAGTGCCTGGCTGAACCCCTGAGCCCCCAGGGGGAGCTCTCTGCTGGGGCAACTGAAGGGGGCTCCAAGACCAGCCTGTGCCAGCCACCTGACCCTAGCTTCTGCCTCCCCCTGCCCTGCAGTGAATGTCACAACTCCTCAGACCGAATCAAGGTGCGTGTCTGGGATGAGGATGATGACATCAAATCCCGTGTGAAGCAGCGGTTTAAGAGGGAATCTGATGACTTCCTGGGACAGACGATCATCGAGGTGCGGACACTCAGCGGCGAGATGGACGTGTGGTACAACCTGGGTGAGCATGGGTGGTGTTCTGCAAGGGACAGGGAGGGCGCCCCAGGGAGCCAAATTGGGGAACCAGTGTCAGGAGGAGTTAGTCTAGGAGCCCAATCTGATGCGGGAGGCAGGGTCTGTGAGTCCCAATCTGATGGATGAGGCAGGGGCTGTGAGGCCCAATCTGATGGGGGGGGCAGGGTCTGTGAGCCCAATCTAATGGAGCAGGACGCAAGACCTGGGGATCCTAGTCTGAGGAGAGAGGCACAGACCCAGGAACCCTGTCTAAGATGAGTAGATTCTGGAGATCTTGATCTGATGGGGGAAGCAGGGCCTGGGAGCCTAGTCTGGGGGAGAAGCAGGGATAGGCCCTGCTAGGGATAGCCCAGCCTAGCCCAGCCTAGGGCTCCTGGTTAAAGAGGAAGATGCAGACTCAGGAATTTAACCTGAGCAAGGAAGTAAGGTCTGGAGTCCTAGTTGAAGGGAGAGACAGGGCCTAGCGAATTCTAGACTAATGGGAGTGGCACAAGTTGAGAGAGCCAATCCAAGAAGATACCCAAGTCTTAATCTCAGGGAGTCCAGGAGGGCTACAGTCATGCATACATTAAAACATCCTGGGCCTATATTGGAAAGTTCTGATGTAGCCATCCATTTCTGTTTTTCAGACAAGCGGACTGACAAATCCGCTGTATCAGGTGCAATCCGGCTACACATCAGTGTGGAGATCAAAGGCGAGGAAAAGGTGGCCCCCTACCATGTCCAGTACACTTGTCTGCATGAGGTGAGGCCCACTGCTTCTCCCTGTCTTCAAGCGCTCACTATGATCTCCCACATTGCCTCCACTTGGAATTCCTGCCTGCCCCAGCCCCACCTTCCTCTTTCCGGCCACACCATCCACAATCCTCAGGCCTCTAAGACTATCCCCTGTGCCATTCCTTCTGCCTGGAAAACTCCTCTTTATTCATCCAGCTTCAGGGCCCCCTCCTTTGGGAAGCCCTCCCTGACCTCCAGGCAGACTCTCCCTACCCAGCTCCAGGTCTTCCATCTGTTCCAGACCTGAACAGGGGAGTTCTTGGAGACAACTCAGTTTGTTGAATGAATAAATGATTGAATGGACAAATAGATGATGAGTGGATAAAAGGGTGTGTGGTTGAACTATTGGAAGTATAGATAAGTGGATGAGTAAATTTGGGGGCAGTTGGATAGGTGGATGGGTAGAAAGATGGATGATGAATGAATGGATGGACAAATTGATGGGAAGATAAACAGATAAGTGATGGATGGTTGGATGGGTGGATGGATGAATTGCTGGATGGACAGATTAAGTTGTGGGTAGTTATAGGGGATGGATGTGTGGTTGGATTATTAAAAGAGAGGATTAGTGCATGGATGAAACTTTGGGTAGACGAATGGGTGGGTGGGTGGATGAGTGAATGAATGGGCAGGCAGACAGATGGAAATTTAGATAGATGGGTGGACAGATGGATAAATGGATGAATGTATGAAAGGATAGAGGAGTGGTTAGGTGGATTTTGGGGTAGCTGGATCGATGGGTGAATGAGTAGATGGATAGATAAATGGATGGGTGGGTAGGTGGGTGAAGTGTTACAAGGATGGATGAGTCAATGGGTGAAATTTTTGGTAGTTGAATGAATTGGCGGGTGGTGGATAGATGAAAGTGTAGATGAATAAATTAATGAATAAACAGATGGGTGATGTAAGCTGCCCCAGACCTGGGATCTCTGACCCCTTGTGCCTCAATGCACTCTTCATGATGCCTTCTCCCTCTTGGTGGCAGAACCTGTTCCACTTCGTGACAGATGTGCAGAACAATGGGGTTGTGAAGATCCCAGATGCCAAGGGTGATGACGCCTGGAAGGTTTACTATGATGAGACAGCCCAGGAAATTGTGGATGAATTTGCCATGCGATATGGCGTAGAGTCCATCTACCAAGCCATGACGTGAGGCTGCAGGCTGGGGTGGACATGAGGGCAAGGTGCAGGAAACTGGGGTGAGGGGGCCACCAAGTGGACCTTGGCAGATCTAGTGGTGGAAGGATTCTTGGGAGAAGGAACCAAAGAGGATGTGGGTGTGGTGGGCATTCTGTAGTCCCTTGGAGGTTAGGAAAGTGCCATTCCTGGGAGCTGAAGTGTGCTCAGAGTCAGAGTTAGAGGCAGAGATGGGCAACCCAGAGAGGAGGCAGAGAGAAACTTGGAAGACACAATCAGCCAGAGGGAATGGTTTGAAGATTAGAGGGAGCCACGTACAGATGCTGTCTTGGAGGCCTTCTGGTGGGACACTGCCTGTCCTGGCTGGATGCCAGGCCCAATTTCTCCCACTCCCTCCCACCAGCCACTTTGCCTGCCTCTCCTCCAAGTACATGTGTCCTGGGGTGCCCGCCGTCATGAGCACCCTGCTCGCCAACATCAATGCCTACTATGCGCACACCACCGCCTCCACCAACGTGTCCGCATCTGACCGCTTTGCTGCCTCCAACTTTGGGGTCAGTCCCAGGGACTGGGGCTGGGGGAGGAGGGAGAGCCCAACCCCGTGCTGGTCAGACCCTGTGTGATTCCCTGGTCTCCAATCTGGAACTGACTTAGCATGTGATTTTGCACCAGTCACTTGCCCTCTCTAAGCCTCAGTTTACCCCTCTGTAGAATGGAAACAGATATCACGATGGTTCAGTTCAATAGTGGATGGGGTGCACTTAGTGTACAATAAGCACTTACCCAATATGTCAGCTGCCTTTAGCTGCTACACTTGACTCCATGTCCCTGCTTCCATCCATCCTCCTCCTCTCCCTCCTCAGAAAGAGCGCTTTGTCAAGCTCCTGGACCAGCTGCACAACTCCTTGCGGATCGACCTCTCCATGTATCGGGTGAGAAGTACATGCATGATGACTTGCTTGCTCCTACACATGGGTGTGCCTGTAGGGGAGAGCTCCCAGCCAGTGTGCATATGAGAGGACCCATCTTAACATGTGGAATGTGTTCCTTTGACATGTGTACACATATGTGGGTAGCACCTGCCCAATTTGCTTGGTGCATCCAACCAGACCCCCCCCCCCGGTTGCTTCAAGGTGTTCTCATGGACACTCACATACTTCCTAAAACTTGGGGGGGCTCTTGTATTTCCCCTAAAACAGTCTCCCTCTACCCAGCCCTCTTCCATAATCCCACCTCTCTTCTCCCTTCCAACAGAACAACTTCCCAGCCAGCAGCCCAGAGAGACTCCAGGACCTCAAATCCACTGTGGACCTTCTCACCAGCATCACCTTCTTTCGGATGAAGGTAAGAAGGAGACCCAGTCCCATTAGCTTTCCATCGGGCATTTTCTAGCACTCTTAGCTCCTAACCAAGTAACATTTCTCCTGGAGAGTAGTGCCCTTTCTCAATGACCCTCTGCTTTCATACTGCTACATTTCCTTAAACTCATAACCACTTGTAGCCACTTCCTGGGTACCGCCTGTTCCAGCTATGCTGACTTGTGCCTGTCTTCCTCCCTCTAGGTACAAGAACTCCAGAGCCCACCCCGAGCCAGCCAGGTGGTGAAAGACTGTGTGAAAGCCTGCCTCAACTCTACTTATGAGTACATCTTCAACAACTGTCATGAACTCTATAGTCGGGAGTACCAGACAGACCCGGTGAGGACCCCAGATAAAGCAGAATGGAATAGGGGATACCAACCAGACCCTGGCCCAAGTCCTAGGTCTGCCCCTTCTCAAGTGACTTAATTGAGCCTCAGTATCGCCCTCTGTAAAATGGGGTCATAAACCTATATCTCAGAATTGAAGAGAAAATTTAATGAGATGCTATCTTTAGATAAAATGTAAGTAAATGCTTAGCACCTGATATACAATAGATGCTCAATAAATTCAGTTTTAGTTAAACTTAGTTGAGTTTGGCATGCAGTTTGCCTAGGATAGAATCACTGTTCAATAAATGTTGAGTTGAATTTAATTTCTTCAGTAGAGTTGAGTTTTGGTCATTTCAACTCAATTTATTTGAGATCTTTCAACATGTGTTTGTTTATCTACACATATAATGCCAAGATTGTCAGTAAGATTTCAAGGAGTTCATACCATTTTAGAAGGAAAAGATATATACGTTGAAATTCACAACCTAGGGTGATTAGCCCTGGGATGGAGGAATTGTAGGAGACCGTGGGGGCTTAAGGGACCCCTACCTCACCTTGGGCTTCAGATAGGAGATAACACATAAGCTCAATTTAGTGATATTTTATTTCATTCTGTTCATTTACATTCAATTGACTTCAAGTTGAAGTCAACTTGAGTTGAAATCAAGTCACTTTGAATTGAATTGTGTTGAGGTACAGTGGATTAAATTGGGTTAGGTTTAGTTCTACTATAAACAGTTTAGTTCCATTTATTTCTATTCAGATGACTTAAAATTACTCTTGGCTAATTAGTGAGCAGAACTGAGTTGGATTAAGCTGGGTTTAATTTAATAAAAATCCATTTATTTATATTCAGTTGACTTGAAGTTATTCTTGACTCGGTTGAGTTGGCTTGAGTGAGGATGAGCTGGGTTGTTGGGTTAGGTATAGTTGGGTTCAAATGAATTGGGTTGAGTTGGGCTCATTTCAGTTGAATTTAGCTACATTCATTTTCATTGATTGACTAAAGTTGGATTGAACTGACCTGAGTATGTTAGGTTCAGTTGAGTAGGTAGAGTTGAATTGGATTGACTCAGTTGAGTTGAATTAGATTAAGTTAGGTTGGGTGGAGTTCAAGTCAATTTATTTCCATTATTTTGACTTAGGATGATGTTGATTTTGGATGAGTTGATTAGGTTCAATCCAACTGAATTCATTTGATTTTAATTCAATCCAGTTAAGTTTAATTCTACTACATTCAGTATAATTGGCCCAGGTTCAGTTTCATTGAATTAATTCTGAGGATCTCCATCTGTTAAACTAAATGGGCCTGATTGGCATTCCATTTGGTTTAGTGGGCTTCAGTTTTTTTCAACTAAATTCAGTTCTATTCACTTTTATGAGTTGAGTCTAATTAAGCTTTGTTGAGCTGCATGGACATGAGTTCTGTTTGGGCCAGTTTACATGAATTCAGTTCCTTTTCATACAGCTCTCCTACCTGAACCACCCATGTGTTAATGGGACCCCTTCCTCACTAACCTCCTGCCCCTCAATAGTGAACTAACTCGCATCCACCTATGGACCCCTTTGGCTAATGTCTCCACTTCCCCACTGCAGGCCAAGAAGGGAGAAGTTCCCCCAGAAGAGCAGGGACCCAGCATCAAGAACCTTGACTTCTGGTCCAAGCTGATTACTCTCATAGTGTCCATCATTGAGGAAGACAAAAATTCCTACACTCCCTGCCTCAACCAGTGAGTTGTGTATCTGTGCAGTTAATTATCTGGAGGTCATCATGTGTGTGTGTGTATATGTGCAAAATTTTGTGTCTTATGTGTAAAGGTGATCATGTCTAATTACACATAAAATGATGTGTATGTGGAGGCAACTGTAGGTGTGGTTGTGCCTGAATAAATATGACATAATTTATAAACATAAAATTGTGTGTATGTGTAAAATCAATGGTGTAATCAGACATGTATTTTGTATGTTGATTTGTGTGAATAACAATGTGTACATATGTATATAATTTTGTATATGTGTGTAGGTTCATAAATAACAATTGACAGTGTTGCTCGAATATTTACTATGTGCTAGATACTCTACTAAATGTTTTACATTTAAATTGCATTGTATCTTGTGTGTGGGTGTAATTCTGTGTATAGTTGTGGCCTATGGGTTTAATTGTATATTGTATATGTGTATACTTGTGGAATGCACTTCAATATGCAATTTTGTATATTGTGTAATTGTGTGTGAGTATGGACACAGTTTTGGTTTGTAGATTTATACGTCTGTAGAGTTTCCATCTGTGTTAGCTGAATGAACTGTTGTGTCTTATTTTTCCCTGAGTGCTAGAGGGGCTCCTAACTCTGGCATGCCAGTATCTCTTGGTTAGTTAGATATTCAGTTAAGATCAGGGATTTGGGATGGATGGACTGAAGGGTGGATGGATGTATGGGCAGATGGATGGAGATATGATTGAATGGGGAGATGAACAGATGGATGGGTAGATGGTTGGATTAATAGGTGGATAGATGGATAGATTGGTGGGAGGATGAATGAGTAGTAAAGGAATGGATGGATAGTTGACTGGATGGATGGATGGATGGATGGATGGATGAGTGGATGAGTAGGTAGGTGAATGGATAGATTGGTGGAAGGATGAATGGCTAGATAAAGGAACAGATGGATAGCTGGTTGGATGGAGAAATGGATGGGTGGATGGATGGATGGATAGATAGACAGATGTGTGAGCGAATGGATGGGTAGAAAGGTGGATGACTGGGTGGATGAATCGATGAAGGGATGGAGAGAGAGATGGGTGGAGGCTCAGGGAGAAGCAGGGCTTCAGTTCAAAGTCACTCAGCACATCAGTGGCTTTGAGGGAACTTGAATCCAGAACGCTTTGTCTGTCCCACACTACCCTCCGGGCTGGGAAGGCCAAAGCAGCCTGTGCCACCCTGCTTCCATCTGTCAAGGTTTCATACTTCCATGACTTTGACTAGGTTTCCCCAGGAGCTGAATGTGGGCAAAATCAGTGCCGAAGTGATGTGGAACCTGTTTGCCCAGGACATGAAGTATGCCATGGAGGGTGAGTGCCCCCATCCCCATACCTTCTAGCCTGGCTATAGCAGGTAGCTGTGCCTCAGTAGTATCCCCTCCAAGGCTGTGAGCATCCTGGACCCTCAAGCTTGAGGTTGGACACCTGTGATGGCCAGAGCTGGTGCTGCCAAGACAGGGGGTGGAGACTTTCCATTCTTCCCCTACCAGAGCATGACAAGCATCGCCTGTGCAAGAGCGCTGACTACATGAACCTACACTTCAAGGTCAAGTGGCTGTACAATGAGTATGTGGCAGAGCTTCCTGCCTTCAAGGACCGTGTGCCTGAATACCCTGCGTAAGTCCCTTGCCCCAAGCCAGAACTGTAGCTCTGACAGCTAGACTGAGGCCATCTCTATGAGGGCTGACCTACTCAGGGTTCCTTGGGCATCAAGGGCACCGTGGGATACAAACCTGGTATTCTCTATTTTCAGCCATTGGACTATGGACTCTTATAACCCAATTAATATGCCTAAGTATCAGGAACTGCACTGAGCAGTGCCTTTTCTCACTTAATCCTTTTGACAATTCTATAAGATGGGAGCATTATAATTCCCATTTTGTGGATGAGAAAATGGAGAGTTTAATGCTGAAGGAATTGCCCAAGATGACATCCAATAAGTGACGGAGCCAGGATTTGAACTCTGGATGTCTGACTCACGGGCTGTGTTGGAGAGCAGGATGGTGGTCACCATTTACCGAGGACCTACTATGTGTTGTGTCAATCACTGCTCACAGCCGCACTGTGGGATAGATACTCCTCTGTTGTACAGGTAATGGGATCCCAGAGAGGAAATCCACTTGTCCATGGGTAGTGTATCTGAACCATAAATCCTGCAAGTATGAGCCTTGCCCGGACAGTGTCATGAGGTCCATTTCATGACTGAAGTAACGGAGGCCTGGTGGGGTAGGGAAGCAGGGGGATACCCACCCAAAGGCCACAGGATGAGTTCTAGGGAGTGAAGGACCTGCCCAAGCACCATTCAGAACTAGGTAAAGCAGAGGGTGAGGGGACAAGAGGTGGCAAGACCCCACCCCTGCTCTCCATTCCAGGTGGTTTGAGCCCTTTGTCATCCAATGGTTGGACGAGAATGAGGAAGTGTCCCGGGATTTCCTGCACGGGGCCCTGGAACGAGACAAGAAGGATGGGGTGAGGAGACTGGCCCATGATCAAGCCCCTAGTCTGCCCTCAGTGGTCCTCCTCCCTCTGGGGTCCATTGGGATCCAATACGGCGTCAAAAGTTGCCCTTGTGATGAAGCCAGTCTCTGAAGGTGGTCACCATCTTCGTCTTGTTCATAGTGTTGAAAGTGTTTTGTTCATTCAACAAATGAATGAGAGTCCATCATTGAGCTAGAAGCCCTACCTTCCCCATAGCCTCTGTGTCCACCTCTAAGTCACCCTTGCACACTATTCGCCTCACCCCAGGGCAGTTGGTCTCTGGCTCTCCCCCTGGAGAGCAGGAGGGTTAGACGCTGGGGACTGTCTAGCTCTGACCCCTCTCTTCCTTCCTGGCCTCCTTCCCACTGCAGTTCCAGCAGACCTCAGAGCATGCCCTATTCTCCTGCTCCGTGGTGGACGTCTTCTCCCAGCTCAACCAGAGCTTTGAAATCATCAAGAAACTCGAGTGCCCTGACCCCCAGATCGTGGGGCACTATATGAGGCGCTTTGCCAAGGTGCGGGAGTGCAGGTGGGGTTAGGGATGGAGTCCAGGTGAGGGATTGGGATAGGGTCAAGGTTGGGGTTGCAGTTGAAATTGGGATTAGGGTCAAGGTCAGGATTGGGGTTAAGTTTGGGATTGAGGTCAAAGTTGGGGTTGGTGATACCAGTAGGGTTGGGGTTGGGGTTGAGATCAGTGTTGGAGTTGTGGTTGGGGACAACATCTGAGTTGAGGCTGGGGTTGAGGTCAGGGTTGTGGTTAAAGTTGGAGATGAATTTGGAGCTGGAATCAAGGTTGAGGGTGGGATTGAAGTTGGGGTTGGGTTTAGGGTTACTATTAGTATTGAGATTCAATTTGGCATTGAGGTTGGAGCGAGTGTTGGGATTTACGTAGAATTTGGGTGGGCATTGGGGTGAGTTCGGAGGTTGGGACCATCCTACTAGGACTGAGGGTTCCAGCTAATTGGTTTTAAGCTGGGTTGAAGTTGAGGACTGCAAGTAAGAATTGGGATTCCATCTGGGATCCAGTCATACTTATGCTTGGAGCTGGGTTAATATGATGGTTGTTTGCTCTGTGAAAGAGCTGGGTCTACATAAAATAATCATCTTTACTTGGTGGTATCTCCTCTTGGTTGTGAGGGTCATCCTGGGTGAATTCACCCATTCAAGTGATCCATCTTGAGTGCTCATAGGGATTCAGGTTCATCCCTGATCTCACTAGTGGCTCTTGATGGAACTGCCCAGTCCCAGCCCCTGTTCTTACCCCCTGTCTGTGTCCTCCCCAGACCATCAGTAATGTGCTCCTCCAGTATGCGGACATCATCTCAAAGGACTTCGCCTCCTACTGCTCCAAGGAGAAGGAGAAAGTGGTGACCTGTGGGGGACCCTGTCCTGTCCCTTTCCAGCCCCACTCTGCACCCCCAAGGCTCCATCCTTCCCTGGGCTCTGATACTTGTGTCTCTGTGTGTCCAACTGTGTGTGTCCATGTACCTGACTACGTGTGTCTGGGGGGATCTGGAGGTGAGGGCACATGCCTTCAGTGTGTCATTGTCTGATTGTTGTGAATGAAGCCTTCAGGGTGTATGGATGTAAGTGTGTAAAGCTTTGAGCCCATGTAGGAGAATATGGGTGTGTGACAGGAACTCCCCCCTTCTTGTTACTTCCAGAAGCCCAGCCCACCGTGGAGAAGTTCCTTGAGCCCTGTTTCCCTCTGCTAATCTCCAGAAACCACCCCCCACCAACATTCCCAGGAATCTGGTCCCAAATGCTATCTTCCATTCTCAAATGACCCTATGGGACCTTCCTCTGGACCCAGACCCCGAAACCATCCTAGGGTCCCTAGCAGTGGATGGGGGAGGCTCTGGGGAGGGGTCTTGAGCCCTGACTCCTTGCTCTGTTTGCATCCCCAGCCCTGCATCCTCATGAACAACACTCAGCAGCTCCGAGTGCAGCTAGAGAAGATGTTCGAAGCCATGGGAGGGAAGGAGGTGAGGCAAGCCCCAGGCAGGGTCACCACTTTCCCTGCATCCCTGCTTGCCCTTGATGAATTCCAGCTCAGCCACTCCCTCTAACCCAAGCAAGCAGCTCCACCATCTTTGCCTGTTTCCTCCCCAGTCCCTTGGGATCTCTTTCCCTGTGTTGGATGGGAAAATGCCCCATTTATGTGGATGCTCTGTAAACCTAACTTGATGTCCCTTTTCCCTCCTCAGCTGGATGCTGAGGCCAGTGACATCTTGAAGGAGCTCCAGGTGAAACTCAACAATGTCTTGGACGAGCTCAGCCGGGTGTTTGCTACCAGGTGGGGACACCTCCAAGGCTGGGAGCAGACAGGAGGGGGCAGCCCCCAGACCTCTGAGCCTGGGGCATCCAGGGACTCAGCAGATGTAGTGGTGAAGACTTCAGGCTCGGAGTTAGACAGAGCTGAGTTCAATCCTGGCTTCACCACTTACTAGCTATGTAGCCTTGGGTGAGTTGTTTAACTTCTCTGAAGCTTAGTTTACTCATCTGTAAAGTGGTGATGATGATAATAATAGTACCTGGGTAGGACTGTGCAGTGAAATAAACAGCACAGGTGAATGTCTCAGCCCAGTGCCCAATTCCGCTATTATACACAACCCCCTCCCCTGCTCAGTTATATGCCATGGCTCCTTGATGCTCAGTATAAAACATCAAGGTCCATGGTCAGCTTTTGAGGCCTCATCTGGCCCTTTCTCTGGGAGGCCTGGAGAGTCTGGTCTGAGCTCCTCCCCTCTGTGCCCCTAGCTTCCAGCCACACATCGAGGAGTGTGTCAAGCAGATGGGCGACATCCTCAGCCAGGTGAAGGGAACTGGCAATGTGCCAGCCAGTGCCTGCAGCAGCGTGGCCCAGGATGCTGACAATGTGCTGCAACCCATCATGGACCTGCTGGACAGCAAGTAAGCCAGGCTGGGTGGACTAGGATGGCCAGGAAGAGGTTAGGGATGGGGCTTTAGAGACTCAGGGCTGGCCTGGAGAGGACACTCAAGACATGTTTGCTGGGTGATGGTTGGATGGTTTGGATGGGTAGGTGGGTGGAGGTATGAAGGGATGGAAAGATGGGAGGGTAAATGACTGGAAGGACTGGTGAGTCCTTTTTATGGGTTAATTGACGGTGGTTGAATGGGTAGATGACATGAGAAATGCGTGGGCAGATTGATGGGTAGATTAAAAGATAAATGCTTAGAAGGTTAGCTGGAGGATATATTGATAAAAGGAGGGATGGATGGACAGATGGATGGGTAGATGAAGTTAGGTAAGTATTTGGATGGATGAATAACTGGATGGATGGATGGATGGATGGATGGATGGATGGATGGATGGATGGATCAATTGATTGAAATAAGGAGAAATGAATGGAAGTGTAGATGAGAGGATGGATGCATGGGTGGAAGGAAAGAAGGGAGGGAGGGAGGATGAAGGATGAGAGGATGGATGGGTAGAAGGATGGATGGGAGGGAGGAAGCAGGGAGGAGGGGGGAAGGAAAAAGATGGAGGGGACATTAAGGAAAGTTGGGGGGAGCGATAGTTTGGTGGATGGGTGGGTCAGTTGCTGGATGGATCATGGTGGATTACTCTGTCTCCTTCAACCCCCCATGCCATGAATTCTTTGTTGTTTACCCTCTCAAGTTTGCCCTCCTCCCACCATTCCCTCCCTCTCTGCCTGAGCATGGCCCCAGTCCTCTCACAGTCCCTAGTCTCCAGGCTTCCTGTTCTAGTTTACCCCCCGCTCTGTTCTTTCAAACAGGGAAGTCTGGCTGTGTCTCTCTTGAGCATTCCATGGATCCCCACTGCCCTCATGCTAAGGCCCAGGTCTTCCTCCCAGGTGTTGAGTCCCTTTCTAGCCTGGTCCCTGCTGACCGGTCCAGCCATCATTTACTCTTCACGTGTGTCACACATCATAACCCCATCAGACCATTCTGATCAATGGGGTCTCATCAGACCCCATTTAGTGGTCCCTGTACAGGCTCTGTGTCCTCTTGTGTGTCCATGGAGTATTTTCCTGCCTTGCCTGTTTGTTGAGGGAAAGGGGCTCTTCGAGTTAGGGCCAGCTGGGCCATCTCTCAGACTTTCCCCTCGCCTCCAGCCTGACTCTCTTTGCCAAAATCTGTGAGAAGACGGTGCTGAAGAGGGTGCTAAAGGAGTTATGGAAGCTGGTCATGAACACCATGGAGAAGACCATCGTCCTGCCACCCCTCACTGACCAGACGGTGAGGTCCACAGGGGGCCAGAGGGGATTCCTGGGCCATCTCCCCTGTGGGAGCCCAGAGAACTTGATGCCAAAGGCATTGGGGCTCAGAGGTCAGTGGGGCCATTCAAAGATCAGAGAGATCACATATGGGTCAGAAGTCATCAAAGAATCAAAGAGGTCATGCATGGGTCAGATAGATAAATGTCAAAGAAGTCAAGTAGAGTTAAGAGATGTCTAAGGGACATAGAGTTCACATGTGGGTCAAGAGGGCATACAAAGGTCAGAGATCACCCAGAAAATAAAGAGGTCAGCTTGGGGATCACAGAGGTCATAGGGGTCAATGGGTTCATCAGAGGGCTCTTAGGGTCGATCAAGAGACAAGGAGGGGAGATACCATGGACTTTGAAGATCAGAGACCAATAGAACAGACGGCTCCCAGAGGTCAGACAGAGGTCACAGAGAGCATCTAAGGTCAGAGAGGTCAAGCAGAGGTCAGCATTCATCCAGAGACCAGGACCATGCCTCTGGAACCCTTCTGGGAAAAGCCCAGAGATCCTGATCCCCAGGGATCAGGCTTCCAGGTGGGATTGGGTGGACCGCAACTTCTGCGGAGGGGTGTGGCTGGGCTTGGGTTCCTCCAGGGAGGTGTGGGGGCCTGAGGACAGCAATGGCATACGGGTTGATGGCACAGCACAGAGGGAGAAGATATTCCTGGGGACGGGGTGGGGGAGGCTTGGGGAGGGTGGGCAGGGCCGCCAAGAGGCTAGGATGGTGGGGGAGGCTTTGGACCTCCCATCATCTGCCTGTCTCCTCTGGGCTGGGCAGGGGCATGGGGTCCGCCCCTCGGTGCCGTCTCCGCCCCCTCCCTGGCCTTCCTGGGAGACTCATGGTGACTTATTCCCCCCCCTCCCCACCACCCCGCCCCCATCGCGGCTGACAGATGATCGTAAGTAGAGGCCCTTCTGTCCGTCTGTCTGTCCGTCCGCTCTGTGTCTGGACTCGGCCCACCGCGTGGCTGCATCCACCCCACCCAGCGCCCCCTCCTCACCCACCGGCCCCCCACCCACTGTCCCACTCCCCGCCTAGATGTGCCTGTGTTTGTCTGGGGCGGGGCATGGGGAGGGGGCGGGGCCTGGCGGGAGGGAAGCCACGCCCACCCACCCCTGCCCCATTTTAAGTACAGAGGAGGTGCCTGCCCGCCCCCAAACCCCAAACCCTGAGCCCAGCACCTTCACATCTGACCTAATCCTTTAGTTGGAATTTATCCTTACTCCCATGCTCAGACTCCACCAGGATATTGGACTCTCCCCGAAGCTAGAAGGAGATTAAAAGTCAACGGAGTTCCTCTAACCTCCCCTCTGGGCTCTGAACTGTTAGCAGCCTCCCAAAATACAGGCCCTTACCACCCGGGTCTCCCTACCCAGCTGTTCAGCGCCGACCCCCCACCACCCCTGCCTTCCCACTCCCACCACAGGACCACATGAATCCCAGACACACACCCAGGCACCCAGGTGGGAGACAGCATTTGTGACTTTGGTGTCAGGCAGACTTGGCGTCAAATCCCAGCCCAGCCACACCCTCTGTGACCTTGGGAATTCACTTCACCTCCCAATCTCCATTTCCTTGTCTGGAAAAAGGGGTTAACTGCAGTAACTCTCTGAGGGTTGTTGTGAGAACCAAATGGGATGATGCAATAAAGTGCTCATCTCTATGACTACCTGAGGCAGTGCTCACTAAATTAGAGCTAATGTTGTTGCTGGTGGTGGTAATAGGTAAACACATAGTAGGGTAGAGATCAATAAAACCACTTCAGAGTCCCCCTTTGTGGACAAGACAGGTTATTATAAGATTTCACCTGTCAAAAGTTCGCAAGTGCTCATCTCACTTCTTGGTGGCTGCAGTCTGGGTCTTTGGCTGTAAGCACTTGGTGGCAGCATACCCAACAATAGACAGTGCGTTTGTGGGCAAGGAGCTACAGGGATTCACATTTATTGATGATGCGTTGTATGCTAGACCTCATAGCTGCTCTTATAGCCCACCTTCATGACAACACTTTGAGTGAGGTAGATATTGTTATTCCCATTTTGCAGATGAGGAAAGCTGATGCTCAGAGAAGAGGAGTCACTTGCTCAAGGCCACATAGTAAACATATACCAGAGTCAGGCTTCAAATTCAGGTCTGTCTGAATTTAGAGCCCGTTTGATTTCCTGTTGACCCAAGAAACAAGATCCTCATATATACAGTAAACATAAATGGATTATACTTTGGCAGTGACTCCTCTTCTTTCTCTCTGGCTCTGTATTTCTATTTCTCCTCTCTCTCTTTCCTGTCTCTCTGACTCTCATAGCTTTTAAGAATTGGTCATTTAGGTACGCACACTTTCCCTCATGCAACCCAGCCATCAGCCCCCTGTGCAGTATAGATGCCCTTTACCTCCTGTCCCCACAAGTACATGTGTGATCACCCTGGGTTCCCACCCCACATGGCTTGCCAGGTTGATCACCCTGTGACATTGTCTCTGCAGGGCACCCTCTTGAGAAAACATGGCAAGGGATTAGAAAAGGTAATGAGGGCCTCATCTGTGCTGCGGTCCTGAGCTCTGGTGTCTGGGTGTGTGTGTGTGCATTTGTGTGTTCATGTGCATGGGTAGGAAGGTCAGCTGGGGATCACAGGTAAAGGCAGGTGTCCTAACCAGGACCCACAAAACCAGAAATCAGAGATGAGTTGATTCTCCAGGGACATGGCTTGGAGTGTGTGTGCACGTGTGAGCAAACATGTGTACAAACAGCTCCCACCCTCTCATAACAAAACCCATAGTGCTTATCTCAGCCCTGGGCTCAGCTGAATTATGCGGCTTTGAGAAGGGCCCAGACACTGGACCACTGCCCTGGACTGAGATATGCGTTGTTTTTCATGCAGATTTTGTTGTTGTTCTAATGGGTGTCTGTTGTAAGGAGATGGGAGCTGTGGCAACATATGAACAGTTGCCCTTGCTGTGCATTCATGCAGGAACTAGCATACCTGTGAGCACACAAGTGGGGTCTCCACTTCATGAACATAGGTTGTTGGGCTTCCCTACTCACTCATCCAGCCCTCTGGGGGGACACATTCAATTTTCCAGGCACCATGTACATGTAAGTGCATCCACGTGGGGGTGAGTGTGTGAGTTTATGTGTGTGATTGTGTACACATGTGCAAGTGTTTAGGAGTGCATGTGTATATTTTAGTGTGTGAGTTCTGTGTGTATGTGTGCTGATCCAGGTGTGTGTGCGTGTAAACTTTCTGCACTTGCGTGGATGTACTTGGGTGTGTCTCTACATTGAGGGAACTTATGATACCTATAAGTACATTTCTTTTGGAGTCAGACCTGCTGGGGAAAAGTCCTAGAGGTTGGGGGAGGAGAGAAACCCAAGCCCTTTCTCTTCTCTCCCCCTCTGCAAGGTACCCCATCCCTAGGCAGGCTGTCCCCAGGTGATGGGCTGGTTGTAGCCTCCTGGCAGTCCGGAGTCTGGCCGGAGTCCCCAGTGGGAGACAAGGGAAGGTGCCTAGCTGGGGAGGGGCTCAGTGTTAGACTCAGGACCTGGGGGGCAGCTTGTGGGTTGGGGAGTGGGACTGTGCTTTGAGGGGGCAGGGAAGCCCCAGTGAACATCCTCCCAACAGCCACCCAAACTCTGACCTCCGCCTGATTCTCTCCACAGGGCAGGGTGAAATTGCCAAGCCACTCAGATGTAAGACCAGCTTCTCACTGTCTGTCTGGCTCCCACCCCCAAACCCCTCCCCACCCCATGCCTCCTTCCACCTCTGTGGTCCGTGCCGTCTGGGGGCGCACTGTGAACCCATCTGTGGTCTCTTCTTCCTTTGTTTGTCTGGTTTGCTTGTGAGGGGTGGTGGGTGGGAGGGAGGCAGGAGGGGAGGAGGGTGTGGCAGGGGAAACCAAGGACCCGACAGCTGGGCTCTTAAGTAGCTGTGCCTCAGGACAGCCTCAGGGAATCACAGACAAGGAATCCAAAGAGTAGCAACAGCCAGGATGATAGTAACAATATTAGTAGCTGCAGGATAACCAGCTCCCACTGGCCAGCTGGTAGACCATCAATGTGATTCCAAGCATCCCAGCTGTAAATGGCCCTCCTTCTTGCCTAGCCCTGCTCAGGACCCCAGGCCACCCCAGGGCCCAGTAAATGCAGGACTTCACTGATACTTAGGCGTACCACATCCCCTAAGCTAGTGTAGGTGCCCGTTAACCAGGGGAGGAAACTGAGCCCCAGAAAAGTCCAAGGACATGCCTCAGGTCACCCAGCAAAGTGATTGGAGGAGGCAGGATTCGTGGCTTCCAGGCCGACCATTGTCCCCAGCACTGCTCATGACCTTGAGACCAGATGATAATAAGAGTGTACATTGAACAAAGACATATTTAGCCCCAGCTAAACCATGAAGTGGATATTATTTTCCCCAACTAGATGAGGTTCAGAGAGGTTAAGTGACTTGCCCAGGGCCACACAGCAGAGCTGGGATTTGAACCCAGGCCCACCCGGCTCATTGGATCTATAACCAGGATGCCATCTTGCTGGTGTCTGTTTTAGGTGGGGTGGGGGATGGGTACTGAGGTGTGTGTTGGTGGGGAGGATTCTTCCTTTTACAAGGTCAGACTATCAGCCACCCAGATGACTGGGGAAATTCTCCCACAGAGGCATTGGGCCCCGGGAGTGGTGGGGTCACCAGAGCCCATCCCATAGTTTTCTTAAAACCCCCTGACTTTGGGTTGGTAAGCCTGCCCCATACCGACAAACACTGGGGATTCCCACACCCATGGCTCCTCACTGTCCACTCTCTTTCTTCTCTGTCCCACAAACCTGGGGTCCTGGTGGAGGTGAGAGGGTGGGTAGTGTGCCCACACTCAGGGACAAAGTCACCACCTCCTCCTCAGCTCTTCCTGAGGGGGAGCTCCAGACCTCTGCCCCAAGGACACAACCCTTGCCCTGCCCAGAGCCTCTGGACAAGAACCAAGATGGTGTCCAGGGCTAGGGTGTCAGTAGGGCTGTGGGGATTGGACTGGAGGACCCCCACCCTCACCTCGGCTGTGACTGTTGTTACCTGCAGGGAACCCAGATGATCTTCAATGCAGCCAAAGAGCTGGGTCAGCTGTCTAAACTCAAGGTGAGGCCAAGAGTGGAGGGCAGGAGATTGGGGTGGAGAAGCTTCCTAGGGGGAAGGTCCCAGAATGGTGACGTGTTCAAGAGACAGAAACCCTACTCAGACTGATTTAAGCACAATTTATTTGCTCCAGTGTGTTGGAAAGATCTGCAAAGTTCAGCTTCAGATACAGCTTGATCAAGGATACAAATCATTTATTCAACAAATATCGAGCACCTGCTGTGTGCCGGTCACATGCTAGGTACCAGGGACACAATGATGAAAAGACAGACCCACTACCCAACTCGTCAGAGTTTTACAGGGATGAGGCCCATAGACAGGCAGATCCCTAAGGTGGGGCCTGCTCTGCCCACCTGGGCCCTCTCTCCATCCATCCAGGACCACATGGTACGAGAAGAAGCCAAGAGTTTGACCCCAAAGCAGTGTGCAGTAGTCGAACTGGCCCTGGACACCATCAAGGTGAGAGGTCCCACCCCTGTCCCATCCCAGGCAGAGGGTGTGACTGGTGTAGACATGGACATGTGACTGGTGTAGAATGACCTTACTTCATTCAATTTATAAACACTCTCTGATGACTCTTCTGTCAGTTCCAGGCTGGCTGATGGCAGGGCCCTGAGGAGCCCTAGATTCAGGGGGCCAGCCAGATACAGACAGCCCCAGCTCTGTGGGGTCAGGGCAGGGTAGAAGGAGGGCTGGGAGCTGGGGGAGCCCAGGGAAGGAGAAGCGAGGGCTTTTGGAAAGAAGGCATGTAGGAGGTGCGTCTTGAGGAATGCATAGGAGTTTGCAAGGCAAAGCAAACAAAGCATTCTAGGCAGAGGACCAGCCCATGCAAGAACTCGATGAAAGGGACCATGGTCAGGGCGCCTGGGTGGCTCAGTCGTTAAGCGTCTGTCTTCAACTCAGGTAATGATCCCAGGGTCCTGGGATCGAGCCCTGCGTTGGGCTCCCTCCTCGGCAGGAAGCCTGCTTCTCCCTCTCCCACTCCCCCTGCTTGTGTTCCTGCTCTCGCTATCTCTATCAAATAAATAAATAAATAAAAATCTAAAAAAAAAATGGACCATGGTCTCCATGAAATGAAAACTACTTTGAAGGAAATTTTTGCCAAAATAATTATAGTGAAATAGGGTTGGCAACATATTAAGGAGAGTGGTCAAGGAAAGCTCTTTGAGATCTTAACCAAAGGAGGACAAGGAGCCAGCCATGGCAAAATAAGGTGCTTGAAGTTGCGGGGCAGGGGGGTTGGGGGGGCGTCCCACCAACGAGCACAGTAAGTGCAAAGAACCTGAGGCATGTAGGTTCTAGGGAAGGCGTTTTGAGAAAAGGCTGGGAGGTTGCAGGGTTGGGGCCACAAAGGGCTTGAGGAGAGGCGAGAAGCATGGGTATTATTTTGAGAGTGCTGGAAGCCCACCGGCGGGTTTGGGGCAGGGTTGGAGGTGGGGGAGTAGCAGAGTTCGCCTTGGGTGTTTTGAAGCACACCACCCCCACCCCCACCCCCCGCCCCCGTCATCCAGCACCACTGGAGGGCAGCGGGGTTGGGGAGGGGGTATTGGGGCTGCCTAACTAATTTCACCTCTCCCCACCTTGTCCTGCACAGCAATACTTCCACGCAGGTGGCGTGGGCCTCAAGAAGACCTTCCTGGAGAAGAGCCCAGACCTGCAGTCCCTGCGCTATGCCTTGTCCCTCTACACGCAGGCCACGGACCTGCTCATCAAGACCTTCGTGCAGACGCAAGCGGCCCAGGGTAAGCGGTGGCCTGCTAGCGTGGCAACCCAGCCCCTAGCCTGTGAGGCTGCCACTGACTCACCTCCTCTGTGACATCATGGGCCGGGGCAAGTGACGGCTCCCGGGAGCTCCTGTGCTCCGTGATGGCACGCGGCCAATGAGTGAACGACTACTGGGGGCGGGACCTCTGACGTCATTGGGCCAGGAGGTGATTGGCATCTCCTGGGAAAATCTATGACAACACGGGGCCAGTAGGTGATTGAAAGCTGTGGGGCGGGACCTCTTTAAAGGCAAGACTAGGGAGTGATTGAAAGCTCCTAGGGGCGGGACTTGGAGGTTCTGGATCCAGGGAGTGGTTGACAGCTCTGGGCGGGGCGGGGCCTATGACGTCATGCGGCAAAGGAATGATTGACAGCCCCAGGGATGGGAGGGACCCCGACCTGGAGGAGTGGACCGAGAGGGAGTTTCCATTTCTCAAATTCTGTCTTTCTGTCTCTTCTCTTGCCTCTGTCTCCTGTCCCTCTCTGAGTTCACACACAGCAGCTAGGGCTGGGGAGAGCAGGACTCCTCCCCGGGGACCCCCCCTCCCATTCAAAACTGGCCCTAAGAAAAGGGAGAGAAGTTTGGCGGCTGACCCAGCCTTAGTTCTGGCAGTGGGGTGGGAGGGAGAGCGGCCATCAAGCCAGAAGCTGGGGGGGAGGGGAGCGGTCCCCTTCCCCCTTCGCCCTCCCCGCCGTCAGCCCAGGGCCTAGGGCCCTCCCTGGGCGTCGGGCCTCCGTACTCAGCCTCGTGCCCAGTCCAAGCTGCTGCTTTTGGTGTCCCCCCGGAGCGGGAGGCTGTCTGTCCGTCCGTCTGCAGCTGACGTTTCTCTCTCTCTTGTTTCTCCTCCCTCTCACTCGCTGCCCCCTCTCCGCGCCTCCCCTGCTCCCCGCCACACACACTCGCCCTCCATCCTCGCCTCTCGCTCTCTCGTCTCTCCCCCTACCCCTCCCTTCCCTCCTTTCTCCACCTTCCCCCGTGATTAGTCCATGGTGGAAAAGGGACTAGGTTTACCCTTAGTGAAGACATTTATCCTGAGAAGGGTACGTGCCTCCGCCGCCCGCCCGCCCGCGCCCGGTGCCCGGTGCCTGCGCCCCTCCCGGCCCCGGCTAGTAAAAGGCCCGTCCTTCCGCCTCCCCGGCCTGCCGGGCCCCGCCCAGGCCGGCCCGGCTGTGGGGTCCTAGGTGGGCGAGGGGGAAGGACGGCTTGCTGGTTCCACGCGGGGACGGAGAAGCGATTCGAGTCGGAATCCGCTTCTTCCTAGGTGCATCTCTTAAGCCAGATCCCGGGTACCCCGGACAGCGCCTCCTCGGTTAAGAGTGGGCTCAGATCCCAGTGGGCTCCGATCCCAGCTCCGCCACTCTGGCGGCTGGGCGCCTGCGGGAGCATCTCGCCTCCCTGAGTCTCAGCTTTCCCATCTGCAAAATGGGAACAGTCAAGGGCCCTAATTCGTAAGATTATTTTTAGGATTAGATGAATTAAATTTAGAGCAGTTCCCGACCTGTAATACATGTAGTAGATCCCAGGAAATGTTTGTTGTTACTTTTATTATTATTATTACTATTATTATTATTATTACTGATGTCATTCTTCCAAGCATAGAAACTGAGTTTTCAGGCTCTAACTCTGAGCCAGCGCTTGCGCCAAGAAGCATTTCTCAGGGATTCTTGAGAAGATTTCTCCCACTTGCCCCACAGGGCGGTCCATCATTCCATAAATGAGGAAGCTGAGTCTCAAAGGAGATTAAGCCACTTGCCCAAGGAACCTTCCCCTACAGGGGGCCAGGGACTCCTGGGAGGGGTGGGATTGGGGTAAGCACAGAGAGGCCCGGGAAAGACCCTTCCCCTTGGAGCCAGCAAACCACGGGATGGGGGCGCCCAGCATTGCCCTCCTCCCCCTTCTTACTAGCTTTGGCCATGGTCTGACCCCTCACCCCACCCACCACTGTTCCAACTCCCCCCCCCCTGGCACCCTCAGTCTGGCCCGGATTGAGCTTGCTGTGAAGCATCAGCCTTGGGGTAGGGGGAGGTGAGGCTGAGCATGTGACTGGTTGGGGGAGGGGGAAGCCGGAGCCTGAGATGACAAGGAAGGTGGCCTGGGGTGGGCAGCAAGGATGGGGGGGTGCACGCCCCAGTAGTGGGGTGATGGGGGGTCTCCAGGCCTCTCTGTCCCCTGAGCCTCAGTCACTTCCCACCCAGTGCCAGGTAACCCGGATTAACCTTGGACACCCACCCCTGACTCTCCCCCTTCCTCCCCCCATGCATGGGGTGCTCAAGGTGTGGGGAGCTTCCTGAGGGGCAGGGGAGGAACCTGGTGGGGGTGCTGGCGGTCACAGGTCCCCAGGCCCCACAGGATGCCCTTTTCAGAACCACAGAGAGAGGGACAAGGACAAAGCTTTTAAGCTGCCCCTTCAATGACCCCACTAGAACCAATCAATCAGGGCATTGTGGTGGCCACAAACAGAGGCACACCTTAGCTAGACTCAAGCAGCCTAGGGAATTTGTGGGCCTGGAACTGGAAGATTAAGGGCTGTGTTGACATCAGTAATAGTTGGATCCAGAGTCTCCGACAATGTCATTGGTCATTGGTCTCTCTTGAGACATCGTGATGTGGGCTTTCCCCTCAACGGGCAGACAGCCTTGCCAGCTTAGCCCCAGACTCTTTCCTCAGAGTTCCCAAGGCTAGCTCTGATTGGCCCAGCATGGGTCACGTGACCATTCCTGAGCCAATCACTGCAACTATGGTCAGGGAATGCTCTGATTGGGCAGCCATGGTTCATTTCGAGATACCTGAGGTGCAAGATGGAGCCGCGAGGTCTGAGGTGGGCTTGGGGGCCATTTCTCAGTCTCAAGAAACTTGAGATCCTCTATCGAAAGAGGAATAGCATTGGGGCAGGGAAAATAAAGATATCCCTACAAGCTGTCATTTCAGAAGAAGTGAGGACTCTGGGCCAGTATCACTGTTTTGGAGAAACAGTGAGGAAGCCCGTGTGGCCAGAGCAGAGTGAGCGAGGGTGAGCGTGGACAGAGGTGAGGCAGGAGAGGTAATAGCGAGGACACGTTGGGAGGACATTGCAGGTCACAAACAGGACTTTGATTATTTCAGAGGGAGATGGAAGCCATGGAGGTGTTTTAAGCAGAGGAGGGAAGTGTGCTAACCTAATAGGATTTCTCTGGCTGGTGTATGGAGAGAGGCTGCGAGGAGGATTCCGGAGACAGGGTGGGGGCCACTGCAATAGTCCAGGCATGTGATGATGAAGGACAGAACAGGATGGAGCCAAGGAGGTGGGTCAGATTCTGGATGTATTTTGAAGGTAGAGTCAGGATTTTCTAGTGTGTGAGTACTTCGAGAGGGAGTGGAGACAAAGAAGGGAGTCCCAACAGTTTGACAATTGAAAGAGAAGGAGGAAGTGACAAAAGAGGGTGAGAAGGAGCGGCTAGTGTGTGGGATGAGAACCTGAAGGGTGTGGCATTGGGGCAACCAAGAGGAGAAAATGAGACCCAAGGAAGCCAGGGTGAGTACGATGGTGTGTAAGATGAAGACTGAGTTTTGACAGCATGGCAATCAGTGGAATGAAAAAAATGGGGAGGCAGATGCTTTAAGCTCAGAGAAGTTAAGAGATCTGCCTGAGATCACACAGCAAGGGAGTGAAGGGCCCGAACCGAGCATTCTTGGCTTCCTAACATCGCTTGCCATCACATCCCCACCCTCAGTGCCACCCTGTCAGGGCTGATGACCTGGTGCCGCCAGCACATGGTGGGTGGGAAGCGGTCCAGGTCCCTTAGAGCGGGTGGGAAGAATGGAGCTCATGCCAAGCATCCTCCCCTACCCCGCCCAGGCTCGGGTGTGGAAGACCCTGTGGGTGAAGTTTCAGTCCACGTTGAGCTCTTCACTCATCCAGGAACTGGGGAACACAAGGTCACTGTGAAAGGTGAGTAGTCTGAGTTGGGATGGGGAGTGCCTTCACCAGGATTCACTAGGTCCTATGACAGAAACCAAACTCAAACCAGCTTAAGCAAGAAAAGTATTTTTCATAAAAAAAGTTTTCATAAAACTGAAAATTCTAGAAATAAATCATCTTCAGGCATGGCTGGATCCAGGGGCCCAGTGATATGGGACTTAATTCCACCTTCTCCATCTCTCAGCTCTGCCTTGCTTTTGTTGGCTTTTTTTTAAAAATTAGAACACAGATTGATCTGTTTTAACCAAGGCCTAAAATAACAGTGGCTTAAACAAGATAGAATGAAATTTTCTCTGAGGTAACCAAGGACAATCAGCCCAGAGCTGACATTGGAGGCTTCACAGATTTGGGGACCCCTGCCATCTTTTGTTGCACTTTGATCCCTAATATGTTTTCCTCCTCTATATGGTGCCATAGAACTCGGTACCCACCAGTATCCCAGCCTGCAGCTAGAAGGAGAAAGTTTAGGGCAATCTCCCTGCCTTTTAAGCCACAACCTGAAAGTTGTACACATCCCTTTCTTTCACTGAAATTTCATTAATTGGAACTTAGTCATATAGCCACACTTAGCTATAGGAACATCCTGGGAAATGTATTCTTTCAGACAGGCTTTGAAACCACAGCTGTGTATTTAGGGGACCCTGACAGTCTTACCCTCTACTTCCCCTAACAGTCGTGGCTGCCAATGACCTCAAGTGGCAGACTTCTGGCATTTTCCGGCCATTCATCGAGGTCAACATCATTGGGCCCCAGCTCAGTGACAAGAAACGAAAGTTTGCAACCAAATCCAAGAACAACAGCTGGGCCCCCAAGTACAACGAGAGCTTCCAGTTGTGAGTCTAAGGATGGTTTGGGGAGCACGGGGAGGGGACATCTGCTGGGTGAACCTCAGGGTCCACTAGAAGAGGGATGACTGGTGGGCCAGTGATTCCTGGGCACAGGAATGAGAGGGGCACATCCTAGGTGAGGGCACTGGGAAGGAAGGCACCTTAGTGCAGGAATGACATTTGAGGGGATGGGGGGTAACCACTTTGAGAGACAGGCAGTTCCCAGGGGAGGGAGTGAATGTAATATAACATGTTGAGGAAGGCTTGTGAAGAGGAGGTGAAGTCTGGGCAGAGGCGCATGTTGGGCACGGCCATTTCTGGGGCTGGAGACTCAGGTCTGGTTAAGGGCCGTGAGAGGTCATGATGGGGCAAGGGTGAGGGTATCAAGGGCATGGCGGGCAGGTCGCCTGGAGTCAGCAGTGAGCCTTCTCATCATGGCTGTCGGGGCAGCTTTGGAGGAGTCACCGGTAGTGGACAGGAGTGGAGTGTGATCCATGGCATTGGGATGCCTGTCAAGTGGGTGACGGTGGGGTCACATCGAGATGGGGCTTCCTGGTGAGCATAATCAGAAGCATCAGGGGTCCAGAGGGGCAGATGACTGAGGGAACACAAATAAATCTGATCAGGGTATTACTTGGGGTGGGCAGATATTTGGCTCAGGTGCAAACCTCACTGGAGCAGGATCATGTTGGGGGGTGTTCTTGGGGGGCAGAAGTGCAGAGGGGTAAGGGAGCATCAGAGCTAGGGAGAGAACAAGAGGGTTCTTGATCAGAGGATTTTGGAGTGGTAGGACACCTGATGCAATGCTTGGGAGCAGGGGCTTGGTCTCGTTGCAGGGCAGATGTCTCCTGGGGTGGGCGGTAGTACTTGAGGGCTAGGAGTACAGTCAAGGAGGGTGTTTCTGGGGAGCGGTGTGGGTATGGCCCATCAGGGCAGGTCCCCTGGGGACAGAAGCCCAGCGTTGGGGACCTGGCTTAGGGGTAGGGGGAGGCATGCTGGAATGTGTTGGGGGTCACTCATGGTGAAGGCACGAGGGCAGGTCGTGTGGAGAGAGCACCTTAGGGATAAGAGGGGTGGGCTAGGGAGTATGGGAGAGGGGCCACGTCAAGGAGAGAACTTGGGTTCAGGTGGGAGCCCGGTAAAGGGGCTTCTGGGTGCGATATCTGGGACAGGGTGGTGGGAGCAGCAGCTCATCTGGCCAAAGGTGTGGGCGCAGATACCGCGGGATGGGAGCATGGTCTAGCCAAGGGGTCTTGGGGGAGTGTCCCCTGGGTGGGGACGTGGTTTGGCCCGGGGCTTGGGAATAGGATGGTGGGGGTGTTGTCGGTTAGAGGTGGGGTGGGGAAAGAAGGGAGGAAGGAGAGACAGGACAGATATTACTGGGGAACAGGGGTGTGTGTGTGTGTGTGTGTGTGTGTCAGGAAATGTAAGCGTGGCTCAGCTCTGGGCGTCTTGGGGGCGTGGCCGGCAGGAGGCGGGGCCAGCGGTAGGGGAGTGGGGGCCCGGCAGGCGGGGCTGTCCTCACGCCCCCCCCCCCCCGCAGCACGCTGAGCGCCGACGCGGGCCCGGAGTGCTACGAGCTGCAGGTGTGTGTCAAGGACTACTGCTTCGCGCGCGAGGACCGCACGGTGGGGCTGGCCGTACTGCAGCTGCGGGAGCTGGCCCAGCGCGGGAGCGCCGCCTGCTGGCTGCCACTGGGCCGCCGCATCCATATGGACGACACGGGCCTCACGGTGCTGCGCATCCTGTCACAGCGCAGCAATGACGAGGTGGCCAAGGAGTTCGTCAAGCTCAAGTCGGACACGCGCTCCGCGGAGGAGGGCGGTGCCGCGCCTGCGCCCTAGCGCGGGGCACGCGGGCGGGCAGCACTGCGCCTGCGCACGGGGCGGGGCGACGTCTGCGCGCTGGGACTTCCCAGAGGGCGAGTCTCCGGGCTCTGTGCAGAGGGCTGGCTGCGCCTGCGCCCTTGACTTAGCTCCCCCCTCTAGGGAATTGTGAACGGACGACGCCCCGCCCCCTCAAGAGGCCACGCCCTAGGGCTCAATGAAGGAAGAAGCCACATCCCTTACTAGAAGCCAAGTCCCCTGCGCCTAGGAGACATTTCGAGCTGGGTTGGGAGGAAGTCCCGCCCCCTATGGAGGAGGCCAGATCCTGGGGCTCTGGTACGGGGAGGCCCTGCCTCCTGTCCCCTGGAAAAGCCATAAGATGGGTCCCCAAGCCCTGGGGCCCAAGACCAATTGCCAAGTATGGAACTCTCAGCTTCCTCGAGGGGCGGGCCCTGGGCAAGGGGCAGGGCTTCCTGGAGGGCCCCCTGGGGTGGCCTAGGGGTTGGAGGCACTAGGATGCTTGTTGGAGGGCCCAGATTGGACCAGAGTGTCTTCTCGTGTTAGTGCAAAAAATAAACGGGGAGGGAGGGGAGGATGGGATTTCAAAAGCACATGCGCTCTCGGGCGCCCAAACCCTGGGGGCCAAGTGGACGGCTCTGAAGCACCCGCGCTGCCCCCACTTCCCTATGGGGGTTTGCCTCTCCTTTTCCCCCAACATACCCCATCCTCATATAGAGTTCAACCCACCCACTTAACAGATGGCAAGACTGAGACCCAGAGAGTTGCTTGAGACTTTGCTGAAGGTCCCAGTGCCACACCCTCTCCCCACTCCCTTTGGCCTGTGTGCCCCATCTAAGGGTGGGCTGAGATCGGATGACCCGACACAGCTCCCCATTGCTGCTAACCCCTTCTCAGGGGAACTCCCCCAACCCTTACAAGGGATGGGGGTTCTGGGCCAAGGCCCCCACTGCCCCTCTCCCATGTCTGGCTGCCAAGCAAAACCCCTGCCCTCTGCCCTTTGCACTGGGAACCTCTGGGGAGATTCCCTGAGAACTCTAGATCTCCCACCAAGAAAAGAGTGAGGATTTGTGATTCTCTGGACCCAGGCACACCCTGAACCCCTTCTTCCTCTTCCAGGACTCTCCAGGCAGGCAAGAAAGAGACCAGAAACTCTAGGTGTGTGTATATGGGTGTGTGTGTGTAAATATACAAACATGCTTGGAGCTTAGTCTCCAAAATCTCATTCATTCATTCAAACACCAGAGGTGGGGCCTCTACCTGCCTGAAGCTCTTCCTCCAGGAGGTGATAGTGGGGCAATCTGCCAGAGTCAAGTTTCCCCATTGTAGTTCATGCAGGCAGAACGTTTTGGGAAAGTTTGTCCTGGCTTGTCTTTGCCCAGAATCTGCTTGTCCATGTTGGATGGGTGCTTTTGTGCCATTTTTTTTCCCTGCCGGACTGACAAGTACAGGATTCTCTTGTACTAGAAAGAAATTAAAACAGGGGCCAGGTGAGGAACAGCTGGGCTCCTGGAGTGGTGGGGGCTGTGTCAGACAGCACAGTGAGGGAGGGCTTTCTGAGGAGGTGAAAAAGGAGAAGGAACCACCCATTAGAGAGAAAAAGCTCCAGGTGGAGGGATCAGTAGGTGCAAAGGCTGAGGTAGGCAGGCTTGAAGCGTAGCGAGGTCAAAGTGGCTGACGGGGACAACAGGGAGTTGTTGATGTTGGGGAGACCTGCAGAGATGTCAGATCAGGCAGGGCCTTGTATGCTGCCCTGGGGAGTTTTTATTTTACGCTAAGAGACTTGGGGAAACCCCAGGAGATTTTAAAGCTGAGGAGAGTCTGAAGGTCAGATTTCAAAATCTCCCTCTGGCCACCTCATGGAGAAAGGACCAGTGCAGTTTGGGGGAGAGACAAAGTGCTTTTGGGACACTGAAATTAATTCCTGGAAAGATTTTGGAGCGGTATGTTAAAACGAAAAAACAAACCTGCCCCTTAGATGATCCCTGGGCCACACTGGGTAGAGTTGTCCCCATTGTGCACTGCCCAAAGGTTTGGCATTTCTAGGGAGGCCATGTGCAAATCCTAGGCATTGAGAGTTGTATGTTTATATTGACGGTTTCCTGGCAGGTGAACAAGTCTGGAAGAAATGGCACTATTTTCTCAGTTACCTGCAGGTACTCTATGTCCCTTGAATTTAGACAGGTTCGGGTGCCTGAAGGTTCTGAACCAGAGACTAAGATGCAAGTTCTGCTACAGGATGGTGGGGGAGGGGGCAGGGCCCAGGGGCAGGCTGGGAGGTGGCAAAGAGGGAGCCTAGAATCTCTATCACATGGACCGAGAGGGAGATTTTAAATTAGACCATCCAAGGAGTAGGTGGGAGTGAGGTGGATAGATGATTTGGGTTGAGAACACCAGCAACACCCAAAGGGAGGTAATATGACCGGGGGTGAGCCCTGAAAGATTTATGGATGACCAGCAGGGAAAGGGGGAGCTGAACTTCTGCCTGAGAGAGCCAACTTATTTTCCAAAAGAGTCCTTGGGAGTCTCTGGTCAAGGCCTGCCAGTGTGTGTGAGTGAGTGTGTGTGTGTGTGTGTGTGTGTGTGTGTGTGTGTAAAGTTCCCCAGCGCCGGTCCAGGCACATGGAGGGAGCTTCAGGGAGTATTTGTTGAATGACTTTTTCTGACTCCCAGGCTAGAACTGTTTTGGAAATTTACTCCATCTTCTTTCCCCCAGAGAACTCCTATTTATCCCTCAAAACCCATCACAAATATCCTCCCCTGTAGAAAACTCTCCCTACTCCTCCTCAGGACTTCCCCAGCTTCTGTCCCTCCCTTCTGTCCCTGATGCCAGGGCGCTGGGGGTGTGTGTGTGTCTGTGACAGGCTCTGTTTCCCCCAGACTGGAGTCTGAGGCCTCTTGATAGCCCCAAGTTCATCGAGCACAGACTGGGCACAGGGGGATGACAGGGAGGGTATGCCTGGTAGAATTATGTCTTGGGGTGCGGGGTCCACATGCCTGTCTATCCATGTCTGTCCATACCAACCTTCCCCTCCCACATAGACCTGGGCACACAGAAGGTGCTCCAGCCAGACTGTGGCTGAGTCACAGGACACAGAGTGGAGAGAGGACAAGAGCAGACAAGGAGGAGACAGGAAAGGAGTCTCAGGGCCTGGAAGCCTTTGGAACTAGGAAGTTCCTGTATTGGAACAAGGCTCAGAGAGGAGCAGGGTTTTCCCCAAGGCCACTCACCACCTCACCTGGGGTGCCCGAAGTTCTGAGCCCTGGTGGGGTCTCCGGGTTGTATTTGGACCTCATTTCATGCCAGGAACTGGCCCTAGATTTCCACGGTTCAGGGAAAGGGTAAAGTAGGGTTGGCCCATGGGGGTGGGGGAGTGTGACATTGAGGGGCATCTTGGACAGAGCCGATCCCTTCTCCCTGCACCCCCACCTCTCAAGAGGGACAGTGTCCCAGAGTAAGGAGACAAAGAAGAAGAGGGAAGGATGGAGAGAGAGAGAGAAAGGGAGAAATTGGGAGGGTGAGATCATGCCCAGAGAGACTTTGAGGGTCTCTGGGGGGGCAGATACAGAGCGATCTTGAGATGAAGAGAGACTCAGAGGTGGGGAGAAAAGTTGGGGATCTAGAAGGAAAAGGAACCCACTGTTCTCTCTGGCTCTCACCAGTCCATCCGGGAAGGATTTGTGTAGAACGAGCAGGTGCCTGGCCTCGACCCGCAATCCCTCTTGGGCTCCAGAGCCCGAAACCTCACCGTGCCCCCATCAGAGATGCAAAAAACTTAACACCCAACTAGAAATCTTTGGGACCTCAGAGACCTTTCTGTCCCCCACACCCTGCGCTGTTCATTTTGCAGATGGGGACACCGAGGGGCGGGACAGAGCAGGGACAGCCCAGAGTCGCCCCTAAACTCTGCTGCCCCAGTGGAGCAGGAGGGGAGCTCGCTGGGGGTTTGGTTCGGGTCATGACACCGTCTGCCCCCTGAACATCTTTTCCTAAGAATTGTCAAGGACCAAAGTTGTCTTCGCTGACACGTATTGCTTTTCTATTTGCCTTTTATTTTTTTTTAAAGAGAGAAATCGAGTTGACGGTGTTGAGTAAGACCTCCCCCATTCCCCGAGCCCCGCCTAACCACAGTGGCTCTCTTGAGGCACAGGTCACAGGCGGAGGGTCCCCGCTGCCAACCCCCTGTGCATCCCAGGCCAAACAGCCAGGGGGACTCACATTTCACCCCTGGCCCCGGCCCCCTGAGACCCCCAAACCCGGCCACGCAGTTCAGGGAGGTTCTTCCTCCACACACCTTCTCTTAGCATGTGATTGCAAATGTGAAATCAAAATGCTCTTCGTTTGTTTGTTTTAATTCCATCCCGTTGGTCTGGCATCTGCACAGATGCCCCCATTTCTCTGTAAATATGTGACTTGGAACAAATGTTTAAAACCAACGAGAAGTGGTCATGAATGCATGGTGTTGAGATGTTTTGCACTATTCCGACTTTTTGGTCTCTGTAAAAATATTTTATTAACAGCAGACATTAAAAAAAGAAAAAGCACACAGCCTCAGACACGTGGTGGCTTTCTTGCATTCCCAAATCGGCGAAAAACTCACATAGCCCTTAATAGTCGCAGACGCCGTTGAACACACTTCCCACCCATGAACGCAACTCATGCACAACTAGCTTTGTAGAAGAAGTGAGGCCCAGGGAGGGGAGACGCTGCAGGGCGGGGAGAGCCGGGATCTGAACCTAGGACGTGGACCGCTGTTGCTCTTAGCTCAAGCAAGTTGGGACACACACTCAACCTCCAGCCCCACGTTTATCTGTTGTGTTTGGTTTTTCCCAGCTTAAGTAATAAAAATGTATTGAGAATTCCTGGCATGGTGGTTATTGCCTCCCAACCTGGAGGGAGGTTGCGAAATCACTGAGGGAAATTACTCAGAAATCACACTGTCCTGGGGTGCTTGGGTGGCTCCATCGGTTTGCCTTTGGCTCGGGTCATGATCCCGGAG